GAATTCGGGGGCCTCTCTGGCAAGAGTATTTCGGGGTAAATTGTGAGGTGTCGAGCTGGAACCGTTGTCGTTGTAGCCAGGCCTCCAAGGGCACACATTTACACTCAAGCAACGCTTGCGCCGGAGTCTCGCTTTCAGAGAAATTGTAGCCGGCGTCAAAGCAAGAGCGCGCGGAATCGTTTCCAGAGATCAACCACAACTATTCTTTGGAAACGAATTTCGACAACAACAACAACAACAACAACAACAACAACAACAACATCAACGGCTCCCACCTATACGTTCTCGCAGTTTCTGATAAACCGCGCTCTCGCGCGGGAATTCCTCACAAGTTATACAGGAATCCCGCTGTCGCGTGGGACTTCCTCACAATGTACTGAAACGACGCATCCTCGACACTCAGGAATCACGCTCTCGCTCTCAAGGGCTCCCAACTTCGCGCTTCGCAATGCGCGAAGCGCGAAGTGCGAACAACTTCGCGCTCTCGCGCCGCCTCCCAGGGGAGAAGAGGAAGATGCGGAGGAATAGGAGCCGAACCGCGATAACTTCGCGCCCTGGAAGGCGCCCTCGGCTCTGCCCTGACTCCGGATCCGCCCTACTTCGGGGAAATTCGTAAGTGGGGCTTGGAATTTCCGCCTTACTTTTCAAGCCCCGCTGATGCCAATTTCCGCCCTACTTTTCTGTTGCTGTTTCTGTGGATTTCCTCCCTATTTTATGTTGGGTGCAGCAATTTCCGCCCTACTTTTTCGGCCTCTTATAGGTGGATTTCCGACGCAATTTTAAGTTGGAAAAAAAGCCAAAGTAGGGCGGATCCGGAGTCAGGGTGGACTTCCTGATGAATCACCCGGGGATCGCGCTGTCGGTCGAACCCCTCCCTCCCCGGGATTCGGGCGGACTGACGCGTCCGCGACCCGCCCGCTCCATACCCAGCCGTCCGGGCCCGCCCGCCCGGCCCGCCCGTTGTAGCTTCCGCCCCGCCGACGCGCTCGTCGGGTCTTGCCGCTTGCCGCTCCTGCTCCTGGCCCCCCTCCTGCTGATCTCGCTCGTGCTCCATCCTTCTCCCTCCTCCCTTTGTCCCTTCCCTCTTCCCTGCTCATGCTCCATCCTTCTCCCTCCCCCCTTTGTCCCGTCCCTCTTCCCTCCCTTCCCCTGTGTTGAGGGCTGCGGGCCTGCGTCAACAGCACGTGGAAAGTCAAATGGGGTACGGTCGAAGGCGAAGAGAGTGGGTATCGAGGAGTTGGGATGTATGTGTTGAGAGATACGCGAGGAGATACTAGCGAGCATGCTAGTACTTGAACTGACTACTGATGTGTGTGCGTGCGGCTTGACACAACAAAGCCAGAAGATGGAAAAATGTGTGTATGTAGTGTTGTTGTTCGTCCTCCTGCTGCTCCTGCTCCTGCTCATCCGCATCCTCCTGCCGCGTCCTGCCGCGTCCTGCTGTTCTTCATCCTCCTCCTCCACCCGAGGACGGGAGGAAGAGGTACAGCAAGAGACGACATGAAGACCTTTCAATCCATTTCCTTCCGTCTCCTCCTCGTCCTCTGACTTCCGCTGTCTGCCCCTCCTCCTCCTCCTCCGCCTCCTCCTCCTCCTGACCTCCTCCTCGAACTGTTCATCCTGCCGGGGCCGCCAACGCTGCAGAAAAACGAAGACGATGACTTCGTCATTAGATTCACTATTCTGGCCTCCGATAAGCTGGTCGTTCTCGGGCCCCACCTGTGTATCGGTTACTTATAACAATCTGGGAAGGGAAGCCGACTCCCGGGAAGGAACACGCGGGCCCGCGCACTGGAAGACTCACGAGGTCGGGAATATGAGTTCCCCTTTCCCCCCTTGACCTTCCAGGAACGTCAACATGATCCCCGCAGTTGCGGAAAAAGACTGCGTGGGCGGAGGGGTCGACCGCAAGTTGCGCGGCTCTGAAGAAGCCCGCCGCAAGCGCCGATTATCATTCACACCTTGCACGGCGAGCTCGCCGAAGGCGCCAAACTTGCCTCTAAACAGTGTGCGATGCCGGTGAGTCGCAAGGGGGTCGTGGGTGGGCCGCGGGTGGGCCGCGGGCGGGTCGCGGGTGGGTCGCGGGCGTGTAGCGGCGTGTAGCAGGTGGGTCGCGGGTGGGCCGCGGGCCACGACGACGACAACTACAAGCAGCGAACAAACAACAATCAAACAGCAACCAAACAACAAACAACAGACACACATCACAACGGAAGCCCATTTCAGGCACGCACCCAAGGATGGTATGAGCCCGCTCGGCCCCCTCAGCATGACAAGTGGCAAAAATCAGGACCTTGGGATACCATTTCTAGCCGAAGTTTCCAGCTGTCTTGGAGAGGCCAAAAGGGCAGGAAGGATTGTCTGGCACTAGTCACTAGAGGCCTCCTAGTTGGGGTCGAAGGATCGCGCCGCATCGCCAATGCATCGCCGATGAATCGGCGACGTATCGGCGATGCGCCGGCGACGTCGGCGGTGCATGGGCGCCGTCGGCGTGGAGAAAGTCGGGCTCCACATCAAGCCGCATCGCCGATGCATCGTCGAGGCGGCGCAATCCTCCGACCCCATGTGCTCAGACCCCATCGAGGAGGCCTAGAGCAAGCACCAGGACCTTGGGGTACAATCTCTAGCCGAAGTCTCCAGCTGTCTTGGAGGCGCCACTCGGGCAGGAAAGCTGTTCTGGCACTCTGGAGGTTTAGGTTGCTCCTCCTGCCCTCCTCGCTACTTCGGGGGGGGCCTCGCGACCAAGGCTGGGCGCAGCCCCAAAAACCAGCGAGGGTGGCGCCCACGAGGGGCCCAGGGCCCATCGTGACCGAAAGCGGCTGGGCCGACCCAGGCGTCGGGGCGTTGCGAAAAAAACTGCGCACACACAGACACACACACACACACACGCACACACACACGCACACACACACGCACACACGCACACACACACACACACACCCGCGCACACACACACACACACACACACGCGCGCGCACGCGCGCACACACACACCACACGCACAGACTCACACGCGCAACAAAAACGACAAACGTAGAGGCCTCCTAGTTGGGGTCGAAGGATCGCGCCGCATCGCCGATACATCGGCGATGAGTCGGCGATGCATCGGCGTTGCATCGCCAACGTCGACCCCATCTAGAAGGCCTAGACCATCGTTGCTGAGAGCGGATGGGCCGACCAAGGCGTCCGGGCGTTGCGAAAAAAAAGTGCCCCCCCACCACACACACAACAACAACAACAACAACAACAACAACCACAACAACAACAACAACAACAACAACAACAACAACAACAACAACAACAACAGCAGCAGCAGCAGCAGCAGCAGCAGCAGCAGCAGCAGCAGCAGCAACAACAACAACAGCAACAACAACAACAACAACAACAACAACAACAACAACAACAACAACAACAACAGCAACAGCGATAAGAACAATGAAGGGCAACGACAAGGGGGCCTGGCACAGAGGGGGGAAGCATCGACCCGGAATCGACGCTGCATCGCCGATAGGTCGGCGACAGGCCCCCGAGCGCGAACCCGCACGCTCCTGGACAGGCTGGGGCCATCGGGCCCCCATCGGCGATCAGTGGGCGACTGGGAGTCGATGCGTCCCCCCCTGTGCCTATCCCACCCTTTCGTGGAGGCGCGCACCTGGGGGGCAGGGGGAGGGGGGAAGGCTTCTTGGAAGCACCCTGCTTCTGAGAAGCCTTCCCCCCTCCCCCTGCCCCCCTCTGCGCGTAGCAGGGCGGAGGGCGGAGGGCGGAGGGCGGAGGGCGGAGGGCGGAGGGAGGAGGGAGGAGGGCGGAGGGCGGAGGGCGGAGGGCGGAGGGCGGAGGGCGGAGCGCGGAGGGCGGAGGGAGGAGGGAGGAGGGAGGCGGGAGGAGGGAGGAGGGAGGAGGGAGGAGGGAGGCGACTTTCGTCGCCCCGGAGAAGAAATTACGACGAGAGCAGCGAGGGCGAGGACCACGGCAACGGCGGCGAAGACGCCCCGAGAGGCCCCCAGCCTCCCGACATAGTTATCGGCGACCGCGGGAGGGCCGAGAGAGATGCCACCCGCCGGCCCGCGATCCTCGGCTGAGGTCGGGCATGTCCTTGTACAGGCGGATGTTGGAAGATACAGTCGGGGCCTTGAAGAAGGAACCCTTTTCGTTGGGGAGGGGCTCCGCGTTCCTTAGGTGTTTCGCAATTTGCCTCAGGTTTTCCTTATGTTCGATCGGACATCGAAGCTTAACTTATGGAAAAAAAGGGGCCTCGTTCCTTATCTTAGGTTCCTTAGCTTAACTTATGGAAAACATCGTAGCTTAACGTATGGAAAAAGGGGCGTTGATCTAAGGAACCCTAAATAAGGAACGGGGCCCCTATTTTCCATCAGTTGAGCTTCGACTTCCCATCGAAAACATAAGGAACACCTGAGGCAAGCTGCGAAACACTTAAGGAACGCGGAGCCCCTCCCCAACGAGAAGGGTTCCTTCTTCAGGGCCCCGACTGTAAGCCAACAAGGAAAAAGTCAGACAGTTAAGAAAGAGCACGAACAAAAAGACAGATCGTGAAACAGTCAAATAATCGAACCGTCGGACACATGGCCAAACAGTAGAATCGGCAACTAGTCACATTGTCGGACGAACAAAGAATCAAACGTTGTCACACACACACACAAAACAAAAAAAACAAAAACAAAAAAATCGTCACCAGGCTATCCTTCAACTGCTCTTGAACCATTCCTCCTGTAGAGGGGGCACGCCCGACTCTTCACCCTCGATCCCTCGTCCCTCGGTCCAAAGGCAATTGAAGGGGCTCATGGACACACACAAAGAAATACACACAAATGAAACTATTCCCAATAGTTTCCTATATTCTGGGGGCTCTCGTCTTCCCCCCCACTTCCCATGTTTGTTTCCCATATGTTCTGGGGAACCGGCGATGAATCGTGTCTGTGTGCTTCTTGCCCTCCTGCGCAATGCGCTCCAGCCGACCCTCGACGTGCCCGAAGGCTCGACGCCTCCAGCCGCAGGGAGAGCACCAGGCCTCGGGCCTCTGCGACCCTCGACCCGAGGACGCCCGAGAGCGCCTCGCTCGGCCCTGCTGGCCCCCTCGGCCCTGGAGCCTCCTCCTCCTCCTCCTCCTCCTCCTCCTCCTCCATCCTCCGTCCTCCATCCTCCTCCTCCTCCTCCTCCTCCTCCTCCTCCCTCCTCCTCCTCCTCCTCCTCCTCCTCCTCCTCCTCCTCCTCCTCCTCCTCCTCCGCCTCCTCCTCCTCCTCCTCCTCAGGGGGGTCCTGGCGGGGACGGGTCCTGCACCCCGCGGTGCTCCACGCGGCTGCCCCCATCCCGATCGGAAGTCTTGCCGACGGCCCCGGGGGGCAGGGGAGGGCCTCCGCAGGAGCGTGAGAGTGCGTCGAGGCCCCCCTCCAGGGCCCGCTCTCCTGGGGCCCCGGCTCTTCACAGCGGCTGGCAGACAGCTCCTGGATAGAGAAATCGGCCCATGGACATGTGGACCTCTCTGAGGATGTTTTTGTATTGGCAGAAGCCGCACGGGAAGACCTACGCGAAAGGCTCAAGACTTCTGGCACCGAACCCCGCTCACTAACAGGTCTTCATGGTGAGATGCGGTGAAATTATCGGAATCGGCTCGAAAGCGGTCCACCAACCCCTTCCTGGGTCTGCCCTGGCCAAAGTTTGAAGATGCGTGCAGCCATGGCGACGACAGCCTTCAGATGGTGACGTCTACGAGTAAGGAAGTCGTCGCCGTCGCCCCAATTTCTTGACGTTTTCAGCACCGTTGTTTTACAGTTTTTGAGCCCCCTGGTAGTGACCTGGTGCAGATCCCCGCTTTTAGCACGGGATCCCAACCGTTTCGAACCAATTCCGAACGCCCTTCGGGTCCCTAGACTGCCCATGCCGTTTCGGTGAGCAAATTGCCGACCGTTTCGGTGACACGTGTTGGGCCATGTTCGTGATCGAGAGGTTTGTTTTTGTCTGGCGACGGGCAAGGAGTAGCCCTGCCCTTTCCAGGGCACACGGAGGTCGCCGTGACCGAGGCAGACAAAAGCCGGGAGCCAGACTCCCACACACCGACCCTGGTGCGGGCAAGCTTTGCTTGGGCGCCCGAGTTATCCGGGGTAAGTCGGGTCCGGGGTAACTCGGGCTTGGATTCCCGAAAAAGGAACCCGAGTTAGCCCTGACCCGAGATACCCCTGACGATTTGGGGCTCTGGATGCCCGAATTATCCGGGGTAACTCGGGTCAGGGGTAACTCGGGTTCGGATTCCCCAAAAAACGAACCCGAATTAACCCTGACCCGAGTTTCCCCTGATGATTCGGGGCTCTGATATCCAGTGCTCCTCGGCCATGAACAGAAGAAGACAAACTGCATGAGCATGCACTCTTGGAGCCCCGCGCGGATTCCCTGGAGCTGCGCCGGGCCCCCCCCCGGCGCGCGCGGATCGAAGAAATCCGCGTGAAGGCACTGGCTATGGATATACAGTCGGAGCGTTGACCCAAGGAACCCTAAATAAGGAACGAGGCCCCTTAGATCCACAAGTTGGACTTCGATTTCCCATCGAAAACCAAAGCAAAACCCAAGGCAAACTGTGAAGCAATCAAGGAACACGGAGCCCCTCCCCAACGAAAAGGGTTCCTTCCTCAGGGCCCCGACTGTAACGTTCGCCCGCACTTGGGGCCTGCGCGGCGGCAGCCGGCGCGGCGTCCGCGGGCGCCGCCGCGGCGGCGGACGCCCCGCCGAGCGCCTGCGAAGAGGCCGCCACCGCCGCCGTCGTGGCCGTGGCCTTCGCCGGCGTCGGCGCCGCCGTCGCCGTGGAGCCGCGCCGGGGCTGCCACCGCCTCCGCCGCCGCGCCTGCCGCCGCCAGGGCTGTCGCTATAGGACAAGAACCCAGACCTCCTCGAGCTGTGACAAAAATTACGACGGGAGTTTTTGTTTGCCATTTTCGGCCACCGGGGGCCCTTCCTGGGCCACGGGGCCGTCAAACAACCAGTCAGGATGAAAAACCGGTCCCCGTGAAGAGGTCCAGACCTCTGGGGGTCGACGTTGTGAAAAAATCACGGCGTCGGGGGTCTGGGAATGAGGTCATGATAGGACTGGCCCAAGATACTCTTAGGCCTCAGAGATGGGGTCGGAATGGAGGTGGGGTCGGGGGATCGCACCGCCTCGCCGATGCTCGAAATGGGTCCTGATTTTCTCCGCGCTGGCGTCGCCAATGCAGCGATGCATGGCCGACGTCGCCGATGCATCTCCGATGCATCGGCGAAGCATCGCGATGCGGCGCGAACCTCCGACCCCATCCAGGAGCCCTCTAGCCACGTTCCGAGAATTCCGGAGCATGCGGCGGCCCTCCTTTCTGCAGCCCGTGAGGCCGTCTCGGAGGTCTGGGAGATCCGGGAAAAGCCTTGGAGGTCCTGGAACGCGTCGTCGTCGTGCCTTCTCGCTCCTCGGCTTATGTTGATCCCATCGTACTTCAGGGCCGCATCCCAAACATAATTTCGAGCACCCGGAAAAGTGTCGCAAGAGTGTCGAAACGGTGTCGGACGAGTGTCTCCCGGGGCCCGACACGTGACAACCCTAGAGTTTGGGGGTACTTTTCTGGCGCTCGAGATTCTTGCGGGTGATCCAACGCGAAAGCAGGTTGGAGCATCAGGATCCTCGGCATCGCCGCCGCCGTCGCCGGGGGCCTGCGCCGCGGCCGCGGCCTCGGCGGCGGAGTCCAGGGCGGCCTTCCGCTGCAGCTGCCTCCGCGCCCGCGCCGCCCGGGAGGCCGCCTGGATCCTGAAGGGGGGGGCGTCGCGTCCGGCCCTGCCCGCGGGCACGGGCGCCGCGAGAGCAGCCCTCGCCCCGCGATGCCGTCGGGGCGTGGACCTAAAGAAACCCCAAACAGCGAACGAGGCCCCTTCTTCCCAGAACCCTAAACCCTAAACGAGGAAGGAGCCCTAGACAAGGAGCCCTAAACGAGGAGCCCCAAACAAGGAACGAGGCCCCTTCTTTAGGGGAACAACAAGTGGCATAAACATAAACACTCGGAGGTCCGCGCGGATTTCTCGGATTGGCGCTGGGGCCCCCCGGCGGCGCCTCCCGCGCGCCAGGGAGGGGGGTCCAGCGCCGATCCGAGAAATCCGCGCGGACCTCCGAGTTTTTATGTTTATGCCACTTCTTGTTCCCCTACATAAGTTGCACTTCGATCTCCCATGGAAAACCTCATGAACACCTACAGTCGGGGCCTTGACCTAAGGAACCCAAAATAAGGAACGAGGCCCTTTTTTCCATGAGTTCACGTTCGATTCCGATCGAAGACATAAGGAGAACCTGAGGCAAGCTGCGAAACACTTAAGGAACGCGGAGCCCCTCCCCAACGGAAAGGGTTCCTTCTTCAGGGCCCCGACTGTAAGGCAAGCCTTAGAGCAATCAAGGAGCACCGAGCCCCTGCCCAACGAACAGGGTTCCTTCCTCAGCGGCCCGACTGTAGGCTCAGGTCGGGCATGCCCTCCTACGGGCGGATCTTGGAGGGAAAAATCAAGAATGCCCCAGACATGTGCAACATTGGCCAACCACTATGAGAAACATCGTCCCCCGACTACGTTTTGACCATTCTTGGATACTCCTCCTGTGGAGGGACGCGCCCGACTTGACGATGGGCTCCGCACACGGCCCCTTGCGGAACGAGCCAGCTCGAGCCGCAGCAGGACCGCTCGGTCTCGTGCCGTGTTCTGCCTCGCAAAATCGGATCGTGGGGGGCCGATTCGGCCGAGAACTGGGCGTCCGCATACCCATCGGTCGGAAGAAGTAGGTAGAAACATGAAATAGGAAGGCGTTGGAAATAGATTGGGTTTCCGCCCGCCTCCTGAAGAGGAGGGAAGAGGGAACACCACTCGACTCTTGAAGTAGGAAGGCGCTGAAAGTAGATTGGAATATGGGAATCCAAAAATACCTACTTTCAACGACCGATTGGTACATCTTGGCCTCTGGCGACGTGGGCGACGATTTGCAATGGTCTTGGGCCCGAGATGGGTGACGGGGCACGATCTGGCAGCCAGAGCAAACGGTCCCATCCAAACAACACTGTTTGAAAGTGGTCCTGCAGCCCAACGGGCGCGGTGCCGGATTCGCTCGGCGCATGAGTGGGTCGAAAAGGTTCAGGGTCTGGGACCGAGCCGGTCTCTGACGAGATCGTTTTATAGTACTTCTGATAGCGGTCATTACCCACAGGGGGAGGTCCCGTGTAGCAGTAACGCTTAGCCTGGGTGGAGCACGTCGGGGCGGTGGTGCGCAGGCTCGCCATATTGTGCGAGCGAGCACCAACATGTTGGGAATGTCTGTGGAGGTCCACCTGCGTACGTTGGCGGCACGCACAAGGGGGTAGGGGGAGGGGGAACTCTTCTTTGAAGGAGGCCGCTTCTTAGAAGGCGCCGGGCATTGCATCTATGAAAAAAGGCACGCGCGGGCTAAGGAGCAGGGGTGCTTCTGACAAGCCTTACCCCCTCCCCCGTACCCCCATCTGCGCGTGTTGGGTACCGCACACCTCGCCCGCCATAGCAACGGCATTAGAGGATGCCTGCCGCAGAAGGAACCGGAGGCTCGAATCTGCCAGGCGCCCGCACTGCGTCGTTGCAGACTGGTCGTAGGTTGTATCACGCGCAATTGTTGTGGCACCAGCTGCAGTCAGTGAGTCGCCTGGTGTCCCAGAACGCTCTGTCGCTGCCTAAGCTGGCGCACTGAAGCAGTGCGCCAGCTTAGGCCATGGCGCTGATGGCCCCGTGTGGCATGTGCGGCGCTGCACAACAGCTGGCCGCATCGGGCCAGGGGCCGGCTGGGGCGTCGTTGCCCTGACGACGCGCGCAGCTTTGACGACGCGTTTCTCTCTTCCACCCGAGCTCAGGGTAGGGCCGACCTGTTCGATCTGTTCAGTCGGGCGCAGCGCACTGCCACGCGGTGCAGCAACATGGCATTGCAGATCGACACACAGGAGAGGCCGCGGGCGCACGAGAGGTCCAGCACACGCTCAGCGGCTGGCCCAAACTTGGGCGGCTCAACTGAGGGGGCCCCAGGACACACAAAGAAATACACGCAAATAAACAGATTCCCAATATTTTCTTATATTTTCTAGGGTTTTCTCTTCCCCCTCCCTTCCCATATCTTCCCATATTTTCTGGGGAATCGACGATGAATTGTGTCTATGTGTTTTTGTTGATCAACGTACAACACGGCACTTCACCCGAACAGACATGAGCTGCTGCTGGCCCCCTTGGCACACGCCGTCGCAGCAGCGCAGTGGCGGCCCAACCCGGCGGCTGCGCCCGGGGTGACAACCGCGCGGCCGTCCGCACCTGTCTGACGACACAGCTCCAGCCGGCAGATCAGCGCCAGGACCCTGGCCAAGGCCAGACCAACGAGCACGTCGTGCATCTACTGTGGGTGAGCATGCGCGAAAAGATGCCGCCATGCGCCACCATCGAACCCGAATGAGTGGGTAATGCGTGTCCCGTTCGACTTAGACTGATGACAGCGGGGAACATTGAGAGGACGAGCCCGCATACAAGCAATACCGATATCACTCCACGGGTACATGTTGTGAACAAGGACAAAATTGACGTTTGACGAGTGATCGAACACGGTCACCAGCACAACTACGAACGACGCTCCATCAACCAGAACCAAGGTCGGCGGGTCAATGTAAAGCACTAATAGCTCGGATGGAAAGCGCAAAGAAGCTGATGACCACCTGTACCAAAACGACGACAAAGGCACCAGCAATTTGTAAACTGACCTAATCGGCCACTGAATATCTAGTTCGTCAACGCGCTGATCAGGAGTTGCATTGCCGTCGCCAGAGGTTTGCACATCAATTCAAAGTGTGTGCCATGTCTCCAAACTTGACCTTGCCATGATTGGTGGTAGTACCTGCCTCGGCTGGAATCAACTGATGCTCCCATCTTCTGAGTGCACATTGCTACATGATGCATCCGCTCATTGAGATTTGTGTGCGACTTCTTGCGGAACACATATGCCACAATTGGAAAACCAACACACCATGATCCAACGAAGCGCACACATCACGAATGGAAGCACAGGCTTGCCGAAATTTACGCAACGCCAACATTGGCAACATCCATCAACACACACGGGAGCTGTTCGAATATGGGGAACGACCAGAAAGCGTTGGATCGGATGCTACAGCGAGCAGTTCAGAGGTATGCCAGGTCTTAGCCTCCACCTCACTATTCTCATCCATGCCCCCCCTTTCACCACAACGACGCCATGAGAGAATCCTCCAACCGAAAGACGCACTGGAGCCTAGCCACCTCTAGCCCGCCTGGCTTCAGAATCCTGCTGTGCCGACGTGGCACCCTCTCCACCTCCGTGGAATCCGTTTGAGCTTGCGCATCCCGTGAAGTCCTGCGCGCAGCCTGCAGCCAGCGCTCCGCGGCCTCCTGCTCCTGAGCGGCGAGCAAAACCCCGACCACCACCTGCGCGACGAAACCAAACGGGCCTCACGCGAGATGGCATGGCGACCTCACGCCGCGGCCCACGCGGGCCGCCAGCGTGGCACACCGCGTGGAGAAGAGGGCGCGCACGCGCGACCTCACCCACAAACCATACGCGCGAATGTCCGCGCAATTGGGCCCCAATGGCCGATTGACCCCCTAGATGGGGCTATAGGCCGTTCCCTTCGGGTTTCGATGTGTGTGTGTGTGTGTGTCCACAACTGGGGTGCAAGGATGCGGGGGGTCTGGATGGGGATCGGGATGGGGATGGGGTTCGGTTAGACGATACCGAGCAGTGGACCCATTTTTCGTCCGTCGCCCCCTCGCCGCGCAGAGGGCGCCGAAAGCGGCGGCCGAGTGAGAGGGGCTGGGTCGACAGGGGCGGCCTGCCGAGCACCCAGGGAGGACAGAGCGAGCGCGGGGGGGGGGAACCATGACATCCAAGGAGGAGGAGGAGGAGGAGGAGGAGGACGAGGAGGAGGGGGATGAGGAGGAGGAAGGAGGAAGAGGGGAGGAAGGAGGGGGAGGAGGGGGGGAGGAGGGAGGAGGAGGAGGAGGAGGAAGGAGGAGGAGAGGAGGAGGAGGAGGAGGAAGAGGGGAGAGGGAGAAGGAGGGCCTTCTCAGAAGGCTCGGAGGCCCCCCGCGGCCTCCCGAGAAGCTTCCCCGCGGCCTCCCCGAAGGCGCCCCCCCCCCCCCCCCCCGCCGAGGGGCCGAGGCCGTCGAGGGGCGCGAGGCCCCGTCGAGGCTGCCTGTCAGAGAGACCCTCGATGGGACCCCCTCGAGGCGCCCTCGAGGGGCCCTCGAGGGGCCCCCGATCCTCGAGGGGCCCTCGATCCTCGAGGGGCCCCTCGAGGGGCCCCCGATCCTCGAGGGGCCCTCGATCCTCGAGGGCCCTCGATCCGAGGGTCGAGGCCCGAGGCCGCGGCCCCTGGAGGGGCCCGGGCGCGCGCCTCCTCCCCTGACGGGGCCCTGGGGCACGCAAAGGAACAGACACGCGTCCCAAGACGCACCACCTTTTTCCGCTATTTGGTGGGTGCTCGTCTTCCCCCCCCCCACTTCCCCATATGATCGCTAGCCTTCCCAAGATCCACTCTCTCTGTCCCAGGACGCACCACCTTTTTCCAACTATTTGGTGGGTGCTCGTCTTCCCCCCCCCACTTCCCCATATGATCGCTAGCCTTCCCAAGATCCACTCTCTTTGTCCCAGGACGCACCACCTTTTTCCACTATTTGGTGGGTGCTCGTCTTTCCCCCCCCACTTCCCCATATGATCGCTGGCCTTCCCAAGATCCACTATCTCTGTCCCAGGACGCACCACCTTTTTCAGCTATTTGGTGGGTGTTCGTCTTCCCCCCCCCACTTCCCCATATGATCACTAGCTTTCCCAAGATCCACTATCTCTGTCCCAGGACGCACCACCTTTTTCCAATAGTTTGTGGGTGCTCGTCTTCCCCCCCCCCACTTCCCGTAATTGTCCCGTATCTTTTTCTGGGGGTCCACATTTAAAGGTGTCTGTGTGTGGTTTTCCCCTCCTGATTCTCACTTCCCCCACCCCTCGCTCTCCGCCGATCCCCTCGTGGAGAGGGACGGAGAGAGGGTGGGGCTGGAGGATCGCGCCGCACAGCCGACGCCTCGGCGCGAGGCGTCGATGCCCTGCCGGCGATGTGCCGGCGCTGTCCGCGTGAAGGAGATTGTAAGAGTGCTTTTCGTGTTAATGCTGTCTTCATTTCCGTCTTCGTTGCTCGTTCTGATTTCGTTATTCGCATTCGCATTCGCATTCGCATTCGTATTCGTTTTCGTTGTCCCTCGTTCAATCTGCAATCCGCCCTTTGCAGCAAAAGAAGGTCGAAGCGAAACTAGTCCACGAAATAGCCAACATATTGTTTAGGTCGACCCCTGATGTCGAGCCTCTATCCCAGGCTTCGATGGGGTTGTCGAATGGACCAGAAATTTGAGGCCCAACCCTGGGATATACGAGGGGAGGGGCCGTCCATCCTCGAGGGGGGGGGTGCGTCCGAATAGGCCCATGGAGGTGTCTCGGGTGTCCCTCCGGTTCTGCGCGGCTTCACTTTCGGCGAGAAGCCGGGGGTTGGGATAGGAGCGCCGCCCGCGAGGTCGGGCTCCACATCGAGCCGAGAAAAGATGAGGACGCAGGCGGGGGACGTCCAGGCCGTCAACCTCATGTTGCATCCTCGGGGGGACCTTGTCTGTCCCGTCGCGGCCCTGTCCGCGTCGGATCCGGGTCGAATCCGCGTCGGGCGCGCCAGATCCGTGTCTCGAATCCGTGCCGCATCCGCGCCGAATCCGCGCCACGTCCGCGTCAAAGTCCGCGTCGAGCACGCGTCGGGCCCCCCCCAAAAGAAAGACACCCAATGTTTGGGACAGGCGAGGCCCCCCGAGGATGCCACAGAGTCCACCGCGAAGAATGCGCAGGCCGAGCATGCCCAGAGGAGGTCCGGGAAGGCGCCGCCTCGCCGATGCCTATCGGGCGGTGCGCGGCGCGGTCCTGCGGCCCCGCCCGCCCGGAGAGGCCCAAGGCTGGGAGGCCCAGAATCCCACCAGCCTCGAGCGCATCCCTATCCCTATAAGATTGGCACGCGAAAAAGGCGAGGACAATCTCAGGGGTTCGCCCTCAAAGCCTAAGGGAGTCCCTGAGATTGGCATCGTGAGGAGAGGAGGTGCCCAGCACAGGGACGGGGATGTGTTCCAGGCTGGTAACAGAAGGGGGGGGGGGGAGGGGGGGGCCGCTCGGAGAGTGCACGCGCCCCAGGCGCCGCGCGAGAGGCGGGGCGCCTCCCGGACGAGCCCCGCCCCGCTCTGGAGCGGAGATCCCGCCGGAGAGTCCTCTATTCTGGAGCCTGTTTTTTTTTGGACTCGGGCAAGTCTACTTGCATGGCGTTCGCCCCCCCCCCCCCCCCCCCCAACACACCCCACCCCTCGCCCCTCTTCTATCGAATACGAGCGTGCAAGTGCCTTTCGACCTGCGTGATTTCAGCGTAAAGTCGTTTGCGGCTTACTTCAGGTTCAGGCCCCCCCCCGCCCATGCAAGTAAACTTGCTAGAGTCTAAAAAAAAGCTCCTGGGGGAGGGGGCGGGGGGTTCTTGGGGTGCTCCTCGGAGGCTTCTTGGGATGCCTCCCCCTTGGGTGCAAGCTGTATGACTCAAGCTGTCCCCAAGCGGGACCACTTGGGTCAGATAGATCCCAGCGGGCATCGATCCCTCGTGCCTGGGCTGCTGGGTCAGAGGCCATCTCGGGGGCCTAGCGGGGTGTCTTCCTCTTGGAGGATCTTTGGGACCCTACGCAAGTTTGGATGTGCGTCATCGACGACGACCACGACGACGACAAACAACGACGCACGCGACGGCGACGTCGACCGGACGCATCCGGAGGCCCCCAGATGCCTGTCTGGAGGCCTTCGGAGGCTGCCAGCAGTCCCTCTGGAAGCCTCTGGATGTCCTTAACAGCTCCGCAACATCACCGCTGCATGCACAGCATTGAGGCGGACCAGTATCATAACAGCCTGAGGGCGACAAAGCGTGCCTGTGAGCACCACAGCGAGCCTGCGAGCACGACATGCCTGTGAGCACCGCAATGATTGCTTACTTCGCGACAGGCTTGTCTCACCAGTGTGCTAAACGCCTGCGGGGACAAGCGGAGTGGCCATCAGGCCTGCGGGAAGATAAGCTCCAACCACACAATTTAGTTCTCGAGCTCGGACACGAAGTGAGGATACCAGACCCTTGGGGCGACCACGTCGGAGCAAGTGCCATGCAATCAAGCCAAGCAGCTCCGACATCTTAGGGTACAACCGAAGCTAAGTGGAACGCGAGGGCAGCGCTGATAGCCCATGGCGAACCTTCGACCATGCTTGAACTGCTGGAGTCTTCTGACGGCCCCCATCTGACTCTGGGGATCTCGGGAGGCCTCCACAAGTCGACATCGTCGTCGTTTTCGTCCCTCCTCCTTCTCCTCCTCCATCCTCGTTCTCGTCCTGTATGTCACTCTGCTGCTCGAACGCAATCGGGAAAGGTGGCATCCACATCCAACCGCCCTCGTAGCGGGGGCGCACAAGCCCCGAATATCTGACTTCAGATACCAAACAAGTCAGTTCCACCATAGCCTACGAGCACTACAGCGCGGCAGTGCCGCGGTATGCTGCAAGCGCCACAGCATGCCTGCGAGCATCAGCAACATGCCTGTGAGCGCCAACGCGCCACCAGAGCAAACGCAGGGATGGAGGGCACCGCCGCCGCAATATGCCTGCGAGCGCCACAAGACGCCTGCGCGCGCCACCCTGTGCATGCGAGCGCCGCGATGCTGCGCAAGCACCGCCGCATGCCAGGCGCGAGGCCACCGCGACGGCCTGCGAACGCCAACCACGTGCTGCCTGCGAGCGTGGGGAGGAGGAGGGCGCCCTCCCCCCGTGCGATCGTGACCGTGAAAGGGAGATGGAGGGAGAGGGGCGGTTGGGAGCGTACGAACGCTACTCCAGATTTCGTAATAAAAGGGAGGGGGTCTGGACCCTCCAAGACAAGCCATTTCAGACCTCTCCCGTGGGAGAACCCTCCAAAACATCGTCCCCAGACCCCCCAGGCCCTCCAAGATAGCCTGGAAGAGACACCCCCGAAATGAGACCCCCCTCCCTTTATTACGAAATCTGGAGTACCCTTAGGTCGGGCAGGTCCCCTTACAGGCGGATTTGGACGAAAGCTCAAACATTCTCAGACAAAAGAAAGAATAGCCAACAAATGGACGACAAATAGTCCCCAGACCATTTTTTTACTACTCTTCAAAATTTCTCCTGTAGAGGGACATGCCCGACTGAACGCTATCCCTCCAATGCATCAGGTAACAAGCTTCACCTCTCGAGCCGGGTCCATCGGCCCGCGGCTCTCGGGGCCCCAGAGGAACGAAGACGCCCGTCGACATACAGTCGGGGCCTTTACCTAAGGAGCGATAAATAAGGAACGAGGCCCCTTCTTCCCACAGGTTAAACTCCGATTTCCCATCGAAAACCAAAGGAAAACCCAAGGCAAACTGTGAAGCAGTCAAGGAACACGGAGCCCCTCCCCAACGAAAAGGGTTCCCTCTTCAGGGCCCCGACTGTATCCTCGCGACGCCCAGATGCCCAGGCATTCAATGCGCGGCCCCAGAGAAGTCCAGACTTCTCTCCAGGGGGTTTGCATCGGACCTTTGTGTTTGCTGGTGCGGAGGCCGCGGGGCCCCAGAGGCCGACCTGAGGAAGACCGCTGGGATTGGAACACTCATATCGTCGCAGATCTGGGATCGTAAGGGTTGCGCGCGCTGTCCGAAACGTGGCGCACACGCCTGTCAATATATAAATATATATATGTATATATATATATGGTATGATATGATATGATATGATATGGTATGATATGATATATGTTCGCCACGCCCATGTACAGCACACCCAGTAAGGCATCCTTTTCCGAAGGATCTCACGGCGCACCCTCCGTCGTGGCTCTGCTCTTCACATGGCGCCCCGAGACTCTGCGGCCCCCTCGGGAGACGCGGAAGTGTCGTGGGGCTCCCACTGGCACGCCAGACTCTTGTTTCTGAAGCGGGTCTTGAGCCATGACCACCGCCTGGGGGATCGATCCTCGAGGACCTCGGCAGGCGGTGCATATGGATGTAGCCCGCCCCCCTGGAGGCCAACGTATATCTATATCCACCGTTCGCTGGGGTCCCACGACGTCGATTCCCGATGCGATGGATATGGTGGTTTCCAGAAACCCTGAACCCAAAACTGTCGTCCTTGGGGCACATCTTTTACTTCCGCAGACTTCCGCCGCCCATCCGCTGGCTTCCGCCGGCGGAGGCGCCCTCGTTTCACCTCCACGGGTTTCCGCCGCCCACCCGCCGCCTTCCCCCAGGAAGAGGTGCCAACTATTTCGGTCCTCGGCGGCGAACCATTTTCTGGAATGCCTCATCTGTCGCCACGCCCTCTGATCTCGACACGACGCCGACGCAACGGCAAACCCACGGCAAGCCCTGCGCCCCGCGCCCCGAGCAGACGGCGCCAGCACTGCGGCAAACCCACGGCGAACCCACCGCGTCCGAGGCGGCGTCTGCCCTGGTGGCCGCGGCGCCCTCCCCAGATGCGAGGCCGCGCGCCGGAACAACGGCGCGGCGACAGAGGGACGCACCCCGCCCTGCACGCCTGGTGGGCCAGCTGCAGCAAGCTTTGCTTTGGCGGCGCGCTCAGACCTTGAGCGCGTCGCCAAAACAACGTAACGTACGCCTTGAGGCTTGAGCCTTGAGCCTTGAGCTTGAGCCTTGAGCGCTCAAGCCCTCGTCGTACCCCCTTGAGCCTCAAGGGGGTACGGGGAGGGGGTAGGGCGTGCTAGACGGTAGACGGAGCCCGCTTCTTAGAAGGCGCCGGCCCTACACCTGCAGACAGGACCCGCGCCGTCTCAGAAGCAGAGGTGCTTCTCAGAGACCTTCCCCCCTCCCCCGTACCCCCACACGCGCGACCCTATGCAGAGAAGAACTGACGATCGAATGTCGGCGCAGTCGAACACATTTTTCGTCTGCGTCGCACATCTGAGCATCGGTCAGAATGGGCACCCTCTAGACAGGGAAGACGAATCTTCGACCTATTCCCCCGGAGCGGACCAGTCTTTCATCCTGAGTCGTTCGTTGACGGTCCCGAGGCGCGGGACGGGTCCCGGAGGCCGAAACTAGGGAGAAACGTCCCGTCGCGATTTTTCGAAGCGTGAGGGGGCCTGGGTCTAGACAGGGAGGACGTTCTAAGACGCCTTCCCTCCCCTCTGCGCGTGGCCGCAGCAGGAGCCAAAAAAGCGGGAGCGATGACGACGACAACGACGACGACGACGACGACGACGACAACGACAACGACGATAACAAACGACGACGACCGCTGCAGCCAGCTTTGCTCGCGCCGCCGGTCTCCAGCCGCAGGCGCTCGCGCCGCTGCTCCTCGGAGCGGCGGCAGAAGATGCGCGCGTAGACGCCGCGTTGCCGCGCCTGGGCTCGGCTCGGGGGGGCGGAGGGGGCAGGGAGGGCGCCCTCGACGTTTCGTCGGAGGATCCCTCGACTTCTTTCGAGGGCGCCCTCGACTTTTGGTCGGAGGAGCCCCCGACTTGGTTCGGGGAATCCTCCCTCGACTGACTCGAGGGATCCCTATAGACGGATTCGAGGGGCCTCTCGACCTTCTTCGAAGGATCCCTCGACTTCTCTGGGGGATCCCTCGGTGTGTTTCGGGGGATCCCGGAGAGCACTTTTCAGCTCGAGCCCTATCCCTTTGAAGAGAGCAAAGCTCGAACTAAAACAAAAAATTATCCGTGCTCGATTTGTCGTCGTGCTCCGTCGCTCTGTCTTCGTTTCCGCCCCTGCTGCAACGCGAGATCAAAACAGAAGCGGTCCGCGCAGTCGCCCAGACACCGTTTAGCTTGGGCCCTGGAAGAGAAGGATCAGGGATGTCGGGAGGAGGATAACGGAGAAGGCCCCGTCGAAGGCCCTCCAGCTCTGACGGCTTTCGCCTGCTGCTGCTCCCAGACATCCAGCGTCTCGAACAAACATCGAGACGAACATTTGTCATAACTTTCGGCCTCTCGGGGCCCTTCGCGGGCCTGGGGAGCGTAACAGAGAAGATTCGGGATGAAAAGCCGGTCCAAGGAAAGTGGTCGAGAGGTCAGGGGCCCGTGTCTCGAGAAAATCGAAACGCCAAGTGTCTGGGCTCCCCTCCAGATCGAGGATGGGGGAAAAGAGCAACCTCAAAGCCCGCCGCCCGCCCGCCCGCCTGCATCGTCCCGCCAGCCCCAGCCTTACGCCGGGCATGTCCCCCTACACGCGAATTTTGGATAAATAATCTAACATATTCAGAACTATTCCAGAATAGTTTAAGGAAAAACTCAAACATTCTATGTTTGGGCTATTTTTGAGTACTCCTCCTGTGGAAGGACATGCCCGACTTAGCCCTAGCCTGCCGCGTGCGCGCTCGTCGCCGTCTGCTTTTGCCCGCTGCCTTCGGGTGCGCCTTCCCGGGAATCTCTGTGGACCTCAGGAGCGCAATTCCGACCGAATTCGTCCAGATTTCTGACTACCTACCAGACCACCCCAACCCAACCCGAAGACCCGAATTTCGGGTTGGGGGGGGTATGGGCTCCATACGTGTTTTTTCGATGTTCCCGGACCCCCCACACTAGAAATCGAGGGTAAATCTGAGCCTTCGGGTTGGGTTGGGGTGGTTTGGTGGGTGGTGAATTTCGGCCACCACTCTTCACCCTGTCGTTCGGACTTCGTTCGGATTTCGCCCAAATTCGAAATCCGTGCGACCCCCCCCCCCCCCCCCACGCCGCAGGGAACGCTGGGACCCTCTGAGGCGCCCCAACGCGCTGCGGGAGATCCCCCCCGCGCGAGGAGCCGAGGGAGAAGCGCGGGGAGCTCGAGAAGACGCAGAAGGAGTCGAGTGTCCTGCAGCCCCCCCTCCTCCTCCTCCTCCTCCTCCTCCTCCTCCTCCTCCTCCTCTCTCCTCCTCCTCCTCCTCCTCCTCCTCCTCCTCCTCCTCCTCCTCCTCCTCCTCCTCCTCCCTCGCCAAGCCGCACAAGACTGCCTGGGGCCGGCGGCGCTGGGCCCACAGACTCTACGTGTGGCGCACAGCGCCGCGCACCCCCACCCACCCCCCTGTGTTCCCAGAGGCCTAGGGGAGGTCTAAAGGGGGAGGGGCCCTCCGCCTGTGGAGGGGGGCGGAGTTTCACTCGAGCGAGCGCACGGCGAAGGAGCGAAGGCCACGGTAGCATCTCCATCAACACGCGAGGGCACTCGAACATGAGGAAGAATTGCCATGACTATACGAGCATCGATCAGGATGGGCACAACCTGGACGAGTTGGCGGCGCGCACAAGGGGGTGGGGTGGGGGGAAGGCGTCTTGAAAGGGCCCTGCTTCTTAGAAAGCGCTGGCTGTACATCTACAGACAAGAACCGCGGCTTCTGAGAAGAGGGGTGCTTCTGAGAAGCCTTCCCCCCTCCCCCTACCCCTTACGCGCGACCTCACGCGGGCAACTTGAGCGCCAGCGCCAATGTCGGTGCAGCCGAACCAGTTGTTCTGCGTCGCTAATATGAGCATCGGTCAGAATGGGCACCCTCTCCAGAACCCAGACGTCGTGATTTTTCACGGCGGCGACCCCCAGAAGTCTGGACCCATTCCAACGAACCAGTATTTCATCCCGAGTCGTATTTTCACGGCCCCGAGGCCCCGGAAAGGCCCTCGGAGGCCGAAAATCGTGAAAAACCTCCCGTCGTGATTTCTTCCTTGCTCGAGGGGGGGTGGGTACGACGCCTTCCCCCTCCCCCCTCTGGACAGGGAGGACGTTCGACCCGATGGCTTCTGCATCTGGGCCCTTTGCCTCGAGGAGACACGAACACAGCGGCGGGCACGTCGCACCCCCAGGGCGAAGAGGGGCGCGCGGAGCTCCGAACGTCCTCCTCATCCTCCTCCTCCTCCTCCCCTCCTCCTCCTCCTCCTCCTCCTCCTCCTCCTCCTCCTCCTCCTCCTCTCTCCCCTCCTCCTCCCCCCTCCTCCTCTCCTCCCTCCTCCTCCTCCTCCCTCCTCCTCCTCCTCCTCCTCCTCCTCCTCCTCCTCCTCCTCCTCCTCCTCCTCCCCTCCTCCTCCTCCTCCTCCTCCTCACTCTCCCTCCTCCTCCTCCGCCTCCTCCTCCTCCTCCTCCTCCTCCTCCCCGTCCTCACCCCTCCTCTGCTCCTCCCCCTCCCCTCCCTCCTCCTCCTCCTTCCTCCTCCCCTCCTCCTCTTCCTGGCGGCTTCATCAAGGCTACCCCCTTGCATCCCTGCTTATTCGGCCCATCCTGAGCCGATGTGCGAAGGCCCGCGCCGATCCGCAGAACGACGAATAAGAAAACGACCCCGTGGTGCGCGGAGAGCCTTCCTCCTCCTCCTCCTCCTCCTCCCTCCTCCTCCCTCCTCCTCCTCTCCCGCTCCTCCTACCTTTCCTCCTCCTCCTCCTCCTCCTCCTCCCCGTCATCCTCCTCCTCCTCCTCCCTCTCCTCCTCCTCCTCCTCCTCCACCTCCTCCTCCTCCTCCTCCTCCTCCTTCATCCTCCTCCTCTCCTCCTCCTCCTCCTCCTCCTCCCCTCCTCCTCCTCCTCCTCCTCCTCCTCCTCCTCCTCCTCCTCCTCCTCCTCCCCTCCTCCTCCTCCTCCTCCTCCTGCCTCCTCCTCTCCTCCTCCTCCTCCTCCTCCTCCTCCCTCCCTCCTCCGCCTCCTCCTCGCTCCTCCTCCTCCTCCCTCCTCCTCCTCCTCCTCCTCCTCCTCCTCCTCCCTCTTCGTCCTCCTCCTCCTCCTTCCCCTCCTCCTCCTCCTCCTCCTGCCCTTCTCCCCCGCCCGCTCCTCCTCCTCCTCCTCCTCCTCCTCCTCCTCCGCCTCCTCCTCCTCCTCCACATCCTTCTCCTCTACCTCCTCCTCCACCATCATCATCATCATCATCATCATCATCATCAGCATCATCATCATCAGCATCAGCATCATCATCAGCATCATCATCAGCATCATCAGCATCAGCATCATCAGCATCATCATCATCATCAGCAGCAGCAGCATCGTCGTCATCATCAGCATCATCAGTATCATCATAATCCTCATCGTCAGCAACAACCTCATTATCATGATCATGATCATCGTCAGCCTGACCATGACCCCAGCTACATTACATCAAAGCGTCATGCACACATAACTACATTGTTGGATGGCGATCATGACAATTAGATAATAACTCAGTGGGGCGGGTGTAGAAAGTGGTGAGACACACATACAAAACAGCTGGTGCGATCATAATTTGAAATATATCATCACGATCAAATATGGTAGACCATCTGAAATTACCCTGTGACGTACCCAACCCATCTGTATCATGGGAAACCAGGAGTTGGCCGAAACTTGCACGGACAATCAAATTGCAGGATCCGTTGTTTGATATGTAAGCTATTTGGGACAAGCTCAGCAGCCCTCGAAAGTGGCGACGGATTCACAGATCGCAGCCCCCAGCAGCCCTCGGAACGCAGCGACGAGCGAGGTAAGAAAGTGGCGACAGTTTCACAGATCGCAGCCCCCCAGGGATGGCGAGGTCCCATTTGAATCCGCCGTGGGTACCCACTTTGCTGGGCCCCCCAGCAGGCCTCGGAAGTGGCGACAGTTTCACATATCGCAGCCCCCCAGGGATGGCGAGGTCCCATTTGAACCCGCCGTGGGTACCCACTGTGCTGGTCCCCCCAGCAGGCCTCGAACGTGGCGACAGTTTCACAGATCGCAGCCCCCCAGGGATGGCGAGGTCCCATTTGAATCCGCCGTGGGTGCACACTGTGCTGGGCCCCCCAGCAGGCCTCGAAAGTGGCGACAGTTTCACAGATCGCAGCCCCCCAGGGATGGCGAGGTCCCATTTGAATCCGCCGCGGGTGCACACTGTGCTGGGCCCCCCAGCAGGCCTCGAAAGTGGCGACAGTTTCACAGATCGCAGCCCCCCAGGGATGGCGAGGTCCCATTTGAATCCGCCGCGGGTGCACACTGTGCTGGGCCCCCCAGCAGGCCTCGAAAGTGGCGACAGTTTCACAGATCGCAGCCCCCCAGGGATGGCGAGGTCCCATTTGAATCCGCCGCGGGTGCACACTGTGCTGGGCCCCCCAGCAGGCCTCGAAAGTGGCGACAGTTTCACAGATCGCAGCCCCCCAGGGATGGCGAGGTCCCATTTGAATCCGCCGCGGGTGCACACTGTGCTGGGCCCCCCAGCAGGCCTCGAAAGTGGCGACAGTTTCACAGATCGCAGCCCCCCAGGGATGGCGAGGTCCCATTTGAATCCGCCGCGGGTGCACACTGTGCTGGGCCCCCCAGCAGGCCTCGAAAGTGGCGACAGTTTCACAGATCGCAGCCCCCCAGGGATGGCGAGGTCCCATTTGAATCCGCCGCGGGTGCACACTGTGCTGGGCCCCCCAGCAGGCCTCGAAAGTGGCGACAGTTTCACAGATCGCAGCCCCCCAGCTGGCACGCAGCGACGAGCGAGGCAAAAGGCAAGGGGGAACAGAGGGGCGGGAAGGCGCGAGCAGTGCTCCATTCAAAACGAGAACCCAACGCAGGAGGGTTGGGAAAAAGCACGAGAAGACGGAGACGATTCGGATCAGAGGTCGAATCCCCCCCCCGCAAAAAAGAGAAGAGGTAATCAAGAACAGAAGAAACAACATAATCCTTTAAAACGCAGGGGAACAACACACAGCGACGACGATGACCCCAGACACCAAGTGTCAAGAAGAACGGCGACGACGGCGGCAACTGACACCAGAACACCTCTTGAAACAGAACGGCGACGGCGATATTTTCATCGAGCACCCAGGGGGGTACATCGCCATTGACCTGAGTGACTCCTCTTCCTCGTCCTCCTCCTCTTCCTCCTCCTCCTCCTCCTTCTCCTCCATTCCAAATTCCTTATAAGTCACTTCTCCCCGTCGCACCCTGAGGCCGGTCGAAAGGGCGCGCCGAGCGTTTCGCCCGAGACTTCCTCACCAATTATGCCCCTGAAGTTCAAACATCGGCAACCGCTTCACAGATGGAGGGCGGGTGGTTTTCAAAATGCGGCTCTCGCCATAGCGCCGCGCACATTCGTTTCAACAACGCACACACGAGTTGAACGGATTGAGGGCGGGTCGTTCGCAAAATGCGGCTCTCGCCTTAGCGCCGCGCACACACGTTATAAAACCTTGCAAGAGCTTCACGGATTGAGGGCAGGTCGTTTTCAAAATGTGACTCTCGCCTCAGCGCCGGGCACATTCGTTTTCAATATGTGCAGGCGCTTCACGGATTGAGGGCAGGTCGTTTCCACAATGTGGCTATCGCCTTAGCGCCGCACGCATTCTTTTCTTTGCTTTTACGACTTCGGAGAGATTCACGGATTCCCATGGTCAACGCATCAGAAATGCTGTGTTTTGTTTGTAAGATTCAGGATGATGAGGGTGCAACATTTACGTTGATTCGCGGTGTTGGTATCCCAGGAACGGCGTTCTGGCACGATTCAGGGCTGTCAAAACGCAACAATCAGGTTGATCCGTGGCGTTGGAGTCCCGAGAGTGATATTTTGGCGGGTGTCTTCCAACGAGGCAACTCACTCAGTGGAAATTCGCCGTTGTAGCGGCCTGTGAACAGGGAGCTTGGAGGGAGGGTTTATTCCAACATAGTTGATGACTCTTGGGTTTGCACTGGTCCTCCTCCTCCTCCTCCTCCTCCTCCTCCTCCTCCTCCTCCTCCTCCCCCTCCTCGTGCTCCCGCTCCTCCTCCTCCCCCTGCTCCTCCTCCTCCTCCTCCTCCTCCTCCATCCTCCTCCATCCTCCTCCTCCTCCTCCTCCTCCTCCTCCTCCATCCTCCTCCTCCTCCTCCTCCTCCTCCTCCTCCTCCTCCTCCTCCTCCTCCTCCTGCTCCTCCTCCCGTGCTACCATGAGGAGCGCACAGTAAGGACGGAGGGAGCTCTTCTGGCCACGGCCACGGCGGGCCTGGGCCACACACGGGCTTCACGACAGGAGCCTAAGGAGCGGCCCAGAATCCCGAGCCGCACTCCTGAGCCCAGAGCGGCCCTCATTTCGGCGCCGTGGCTGTGCTCAACCTCTGGTGTTGATGTTGTTTCCCACCTGAATACCTACCAGACCACCCCAACCCAACCCGAAGGCCCGAATTTCGGGTTGGGGGGGGTAAAGGTTCCACATGTGTTTTTTCGCTGGTTCCCGACCCCCCCCCACTGGAAATGGATGGCAAATTGAGGCCTTCGGGTTGGTCTGGAATGGTTGGTTTGGTAGGCGGTGACCACCGCAGCCGCCGGCCGGGGACAGCCGCGCGCAAAAGAAAAGCAGCGAAAACCGATGCAGATCGACAGTCGATGGGGAATCGCTGAATAACAGGGTCGAGCGGAGCTCGGAGAGCAGTTCTCTGCTCCTCGGGGGCGTAGGGGGGGGGGAAGTGGGGGGAGTGGGGGGAGGGGAAGGAGGGGGCATATAACGTAACGCCCCCGGTCCCCCACCGCGACAAACCGTGGTGGCGGACGCTCTGCGGCAGTGCCGGGAACGCACTGGGGGGAGGGGGGGGGAGCGTGACGCTATGGCGGGGGGGAGGGGGCCGGTCGGTGGGTGGCCGCCGTGTGCCGCGGCTGGCGATCTCTGGGGGCCAGCCGGGACAGCAACAAGAGGGCAGCCGGGAGGCGGACCAGCCGCGGCATGGCCTCGTTCCCAGACCCCCGACGTCATGATTTTTTCATGACGCGACCCCCAGAGGTCCGGACCTATTCGCCGGGACCGGTTTTTCATCCTGAGTCGTTTTTTGACGGTCCCGAGGGCCGGTAAGGGCCCCCAGAGGCCGAAAATATGGAAAAACCTTCCGTCGTGATTTTTTCATGACTCGAGGGGGTCTGGGTTCGGCGGAGGGGGGGGGGGGGGGCATGGCGCGCGTTTCGGCCCAGAGGGCAAAAGCAAGAAGGCCCTCCTGCACCACCACGGCCGCGCCCTCCATGCGGCGGTACACGGCCAGCAGGCGGCCGTGCAGCCGCAGCACGGCGCACACGCGGCGTGCCAGGGCGCCGCGCCACCACGCCTGGGCGGGGCGGCGTCGGCGTCGAGCGGGTGCCGTCGGCTCGGCCTCCTCCTCCTCCTCCTCCTCCTCCTCCTCCTCCTCCTCCTCGTCCTCGCCTTCCCTCGGGCGCACGCTAACGTGGATTAGGGAGACGTGGATCGCCACGCTGTCGCCAAGATCACCAGGTGGGTGGGGGATACGCGGATTAGGGACACATGCATCGCCACGCCACGTGGATTTGGGACACATGGATTAGGGATACGTGGGTCAGGGCTCCCGCTGGTGCGCGGTCGTCAGATCCCTGGATCGGGGAAAGTACGCCCCGGACAAGCGGCGCCAGTGCCGTCCATTTCGGTGGCGGAGTTCGCCGATTCTGTATGGAAGCGAGACCCGTCGCTAAGCCACGCGCCTCAGCTCCATGTTTGCATGTGTCCTCGCCTTCTCTCTGCTCGTCGGGGTTCCTCCCCCCGGGGCCTTCCAGGAGGGCGCAACACAATAGCACCAGGACCTGAGTTTAATTACAGAGGAGGCCAGTCCATAAGACAGCTTCCACAAGAAACCCAACCCTGAGACTCCAGGAAGTCCCATGATTTTGGTGTGGGAGCGTCACGCTTTCCATTGCAAAACCATGGAAACCCAAGAAGCCCAGGGCACCCTGGAGGCAAGCATGGAGTTTCTTGGCATAGGTCCCTACTGTAATGGTCGAAACTCTGGGCAATCCTTGTAGGCAACAACTCTGGAAGACTATGCTTTAGGCAGTCGCGCGCCGAAGGCCGCTCTGGCGATGGGACACTCTTACGTGTAGCCAAACGTTGGCGCTGGAACATCTGTTCGGTGTCTGCCTGGCCACCGCCCCTTCTGTGGGCAGGAGCTCGGGATCCTGATGGCCTAAGAATGAACGATGCTGTCCGCCACCGTGCCCCGAGGCTCGAGTTGGAGGCCCCCCAAGTTCCCCGAAAGTCCTCCGTCCCCAAATCCCGTGGATTCTGTGGGGCGCTCTTGTGCGCTCTTGGGCGCTCTCGCGCGCTCTCGGCCGCTCTGGGGCGCTCCGTGAGGGCCACGCGTGCCCCGAGCGACCAAACGATCGGCCCAAGACCCCCAAGATGGCCTCCAGACTGCCCACGAAGCCCCCCCCAAAAAAACCCAAGATCGCTAAGAAAACACATCCAAGAGGGTCCCGAGAGGCCAAATTCAGAGATGTCCCGTTCGTGCTGGAAGGATTTGAGCGTTCTCGCTGGTTCGGCCTCCCGACCGCCCAAGACGGCCCAAGCAGCTTCCAAGATCGCCTCAAGACGGCCCCGAGAAAGCACCGAGAGGGCCCAGGAGGGCCCCAAGACAGCCAAAGAGGCCCCCAGTACGGCTCAAGAGACCCCCGAGACGGCCTGAGGTGGAAAGCGTATGCGCCCTGGGGCCCGGATAGCCCGCCAAAAAGCTCCAAGATGCCCCTAAAGGTTTCCTAAGAGGCCCTAGTAGGTCACCAAGATGCCCCCCAAGAGGCCCCGATCTGAAAACGGCCCTCAAGAGGCCCTTAGGCCTACAAGGGCCCCCCAAGCGGCTCCCCAAGGGGCCCCAAGAGTCATGCAGGAGGGAGTCGCTCAATGAGGCACCCGAGAGGGCCTCGCACCCAAAACACAGGCACGAGGGATCGACGCTCGCTGAAGTCGCAATCGCCCCAGAAGTACCACTTGGGTACGACCTGAATCATATACCTTGCACCCAATCTCAAGAAGCTTCCGATGGGGCATCCCACGAAGTCCGGACTCGGCGATGGGCATCCAAGACGCTTCTGAGATACTACTTGGGCACGGAGGCGGGATTGGCCGAAGTCCACTCGATCCGGCACCCCCCGCTGGTGTGTCAAAGGAGTGCCTGGCGTGCAAAACTTCTCAATGGTTTCGACATTTCGAACGGTTCCCAACTGGGCCTCGGCCGATCCCACTGGCCACCCGGAGAGACCCAGAAAACGAGTCTCTCCTTGCCCGAATCGCCTCCAGTACTGGCACAGTGGCCACAGATGGCCTCCAAGATGCCTCCAAGAAGTACACGATGGCTCCATGAGGGCCCAAGATGCCCAAAGATGGCCAGCATGGCCCCAAGACGGCTCCAGGATGCCCTCTAGACGGCCCAAGAGGCCCAGAAGACGCACCAAGAGGGCCCCAAGGGGACCTCCAGGAGGCAAAAATCATGTACTGTCCTCAGCTTGTTCAATGGGTTTAGCGTTCTCGCCTTTTCGGGCTTCTGGCGCTCCCAAAAAGCCCGATGGGTCCGAAATGTACTCAAAACGGCCCAACATGCCCCGAAGAAGCCAGCAACTCTGCCCAATAGAGCCCCACGACGGCCCAAGAGGCCCCCAAAGGCTGTCCCAACACGGCCCCACGGACCTCGAAGACGGCGCGATTCCAAAGGCAGGTCGCCGCGGTGCTTCGCTGTAGGCGTCTTCGATCCGAAGCCATGGGAGCACGGCTTGCTGAGCTTTCTACAGGCACCGCAAAAGTGGAGAGGAAAGGATGCGTCAGCACAAGAGAGCCCCAGGATGGCCTCCAAGACGGCCAATATGGCCCAAGTTGGTCCCAAGATGCTTCGTAGATGGCCCCAAGACAGCCCAAGATGCCCAAGACGGCACAAAATGCCCAAGAGGCCCCCAAGACGGCCCCAGATGGCCCCAGGGGGACCTCCAGGAAGACGGCCCAAGAGGGTCCCAAGATGGCCCAACGTGAGCCCGCCAAGACGGCCCCACGACAGTCCTGCCAGACCTCCAACACGGCCTTAGCGCCCAAAGGAGGCCCCAAGACGGGCCAGAAGAGCCCCCAAGAGGGCATCCGACGGCCAAGATGCCCCCGAGGCCCCCCAAACGGCCCTCAGAGCACCCCAGAAGGCCCCTAAGAGGCCCACAAGAGGCACACGAGCCCCCCCCCCCAGGAGGCCCCCAAGAGGCCCCCAAGACGTACACGAGGCCCCCAAGAGGCCCCCAAGAGGCCCCCAAGAGGTCTCCTTGTCCTCCTTCTCCTCCTCCTCCTCCTCCTCCTCTTCCTCCTCCTCCTCGTTATCCTCCCTTTCATCATCATCCCTCTTCCTTCCACAAACGTTCCCGCAAGGGTTTGCACAACGTCTGGTGGAACCCGTAGCCCAAGAGCCTGGCAAGACTTCGGCCCAACGTTTGGCCACATAGGCGTTTCAAAAAGCGGGTGGCGCTGGTGGTTCGCCGCAAGCGTTTGCGATAATGTCATCATCTCTGTGGCTGCACCTAGAATCCAGATCCTGCTCCCTCATCCCTGGGACCTCCCTCTTTCCACACCTCAACAGCTCCAACAGCTCCTTCCTCTCCTCCAGCTTCAAGCCTTCTCCTTCTCCTTCTTCCCCCTGGATCATCCTCCCCCTGCTCCTGCACATGCACATGCTACTACTCCTGCTCCTGCTCCTCCAACCCCTCACACTCCTCGTCCTCCTCCTCCTCCGCTTCTTCCTCGCGACCTTCCCCCCCCCCCGCGCTCTTCCGCGCGCGTAGGATCGCGGACGAGCGTGGTAAGAAGCCTCCCGAGCATTTCCGGACGGGCCTGGGGCTTCTTTCCGAGGGGAGGCATGAAGAGGGGAGAAGCGCGTCATGGCGCGAGGCGTGTGCGGGAATGGGTGGGGCCCAGGGGACGCGTTGAAAGAAGACACAAGGGCATGGCATCGGGGAGATTTCATGGCCCGGGCCTTGAGATTCACACACACACACACATACACACACACGCACGCACGCACGCACGCACGCACGCACGGACGCACACACACACACACACACACACACACACACACGCACGCACACACACACACACACACACACACACACACACACGCACACGCACACGCACACACAAACACACAAACACACAAACACACAAACACACAAACACACAAATACACACACACACACGCACACACTCGCACGCACCCACACACGCACACACGCACACACATACACACACACACACACACGCACGCACACACACACACCCACACACACACACACACACACACACACACGCACCCGCACGCACCCGCACGCACCCGCACGCACCCGCACGAACCCGCATGCACCCGCACCCGAACGCACCCGCACGCACCCGCACGCACCCGCACGCACCCGCACGCATCCGCACGCACCCGCACGCACCCGCACGCACCCGCACGCACCCGCACGCACCCGCACGCACGCAGGCACCCGCACTTGCACGCACGCACCCGCACACACACAGTCACACCTAGCTCTGACTCCCCGGCAGCCCCAGAAGCTCTATTTCGCCGGGGGCGGTTTCTGTCCATTGTCTCCGGGGTCTGAAAGTGGCCTCCAGAGGCTGATATCCCGTGGCAAGGCGCCAACTCTGAGTGAGCAATTGCCCGCTACACCTGGCAATCCAATGTCGCCTTGTCTGCTCTCTGCCTGGCTCGATCGCCCCCCCCCCGCCCCCGTGATACAGCCGGACCTAGGCCAGAAGAACAGCCCTCAAGAAGACGAAGACCCTCCGTCAACCAAAACACACCGGACAGCCAAGGGTACCCCCCCCCAGGGTGCACAAGAACACCCAACAGCACACGAAGAACACGAGGGCACTCTCCCCGAACCGACCTCCAGCTGCTGTAATAGACATCGGTAACGCCATCGGCGGTTGCAGTGGGACTTTTGAACAACTGCCGCTGGAAACCTCTGCGTGTCGCCGCCCGCCGCCGTGCTCTCTCTCTCTCTCTCTCTCTCTTTTTCCAAGGACCGACCACAACGATATTTATTTAAAACGCGTTTGCCTTTAGATCGAAAACGAAAACGAATCCGACCGTAAATGATGCGGGTGCAAACGACAACGAAAACGAAACGATGCCGCGATTCGGCGAGACAACAAAACGAAGAACGAAACGAACTCCGCAGACCTCGTTGGCAGACGCGCACCGTCGCGCAAAGCGTGTGCTGCGTTGCTGCGATGTCCAAGCCGTGATCACTGAGAGAGAATCCAGTGTGGGCCCGACCACAAGAAACCTTCCACAAGAAACCAAACACTGAGACCCCAGGACGTCCATCGGTTTTTGGTGTGGGGACGTCACGCTCTCCATGGCAAAAACATCGAAGCCCAAGAAACCCAGGACACCCTGGAGGCAAGCAGAATGCTTTTTCTTGGCATGTGTCTCCACTGATGTTCGCCGACGACGTACAGGCCATAAGGAATGCTGAAAAAGAAACGAAAGGTCTTTTCTGGCCACGGCGAGCCTCGGCTTCGAGTAGGTTCCCCGACCCCAGGTCTGAGGAACGGCTTGAACTCCAGAGCCCTTCCTGAGCCCAATCTGGTCCTTGTTTCAGCATCTTGACTGTACGCTTCTGGCGAATGAGTTCCCGACCCCAAACGTAGTCCACAGGGGGCCGACTGGGGCAGTGTCACGCCGCTTCGAGACCCTCGTCGAGCCCCAGCTGCCAAAGCGGGCCTCGACCCGCCAAAGGGGCGAGCAGAGCAGCGAGATCAGAGGCCTCCTGAATGGGGCCGGAGGATCGCGCCGCATCGCCGACACATCGGCGATGCATCGGCGACGTCGACGTGAAGCAAACCGGGCTGCACATCGAGCCGATGTATCGGCGATGCGGCGCGACCCTCCGGCCCCATCTAATCCGACCCCGTCTGGGAGGCCTGGACCAGAGCGGGCCTCGACCTGCCAGAAGGGCGAACCAGACAGGTGAACGCTTTCGCAGTCGGCGTCTCGACATTGGGCGGAAAGAGGGGGGGGAGGGGGGGTCTTGCTCTGGACCTCTGCTGAGCGCGACGGGTTGCCACAGGGCTTTCGTTCTTTTGGGGGGGGGGCTCCACCGGCGTGGAACAGGCGCCCCAAAAACAGAGCCAAGATCTACTCCAGGGGGGGGGGCCCGCGCCTCGACGTCGATCCTCGTACCTCGGACCTCGAGCGACGGACTGCAACGGACGACCGGCTGGCGAGGACCGCACCACCGCTCGCCAGGGCCTCGCCAGACCTTCCTGACGAACGGCGGTTCCCCGCTGGGTCCAGGAAGGCGAACAAAGAAAACACAACCGTCGAAACTCATCGTGAGGATGCGCGGCTTCATCAAGGCTACCCCCTTGCATCCCTGCTTATTCGGCCCATCCTGAGCCGATGTGCGAAGGCCCGCGCCGATCCGCAGAACGACGAATAAGAAAACGACCCCGTGGTGCGCGGAGAGCCTTCCTCCTCCTCCTCCTCCTCCTCCTCCTCCTCCTCCTCCTCCTCCTCCTCCTCCTCCTCCTCCTCCTCCCCCTCCCCCTCTGCCTGTGCGCCCCCGTCCCCCGCCCTCGCCCGTCGGCCTGCAGGGCCGTCGCGGCCCTGGACTGGACCTGGACCTGCTGCACGCCGTGGCGCAGCTCGGCCATGGCTCGGCGGCGAGCCCCCGGGGGGGCAAGGGGAATGACTACCTACCATGCCACCCCAACCCAACCCGAAGGCACGAATTTCGGGTTGGGGGGGTGTTTTTTTTCAATGTTCCCATACCCCCCCCCACTGAAAATGGAGGGCAAATCGGGGCCTTCGAAAGGTTGGGGTGGGTTGGGGGGCACGGGGAAGGGCAGGGGATGATAAGTCTCGGGCCGGGCGGAAGGGGGGGATAGCGAAGGGGGGGCTTGAGAATCAGCTCACGTGGCTGATTTTCCCAGCGCCTCCCGGCGCCGGGAGGCGCCCACGTATCGAGGAATAGGCCCGGCGGCGGGGCCGAAACCAGCTGCATCAGAAGATTTCGTAACCCCCCCTTTCCCAATCCCCCCCTTTCGCCCGGTCCGGAATATGTCAACCCCTGTCCCAGGCTTTGGGATGTGTCCCCCTATATCCGCCCTCTTGCTGCAAAAGGAAGTCGAAACGAAAGCGGCCCACGAAATCGCCAAAACACTGATTAGGTCGACTCCTGATGCCGACTCCTATCCGAGGCTCTGGGAGGTTTTCGAGTGGACCAAGAATTTAGGGCCCAGCCCTGGGATATAGGATGGGGGGGGGCATCAATCCTCGATTGGGGGTACGTCCGAATAGACACCTGGGGGTATCCCAGGAGTTCCTCCTTTAAGCGGCTTTACTTTTCTTTGAAAATTCAGGGGTTGGGGGAGAACCGTCGCCCATGAGAAAAGGGGCGGGCCTTCTCAGAAGGCTTGGAAGTCCCCCGGGCCTTCTGCGACAAATTGCCTCCGCCTTCACAGAAGACAATGAAAATTCTTCTCTGAAGGCCGACGCGCTTCTGAGGAGCCCCGCCGCATTCTGAGAAGATTTTCTCCTTCTCACTTCTCGGGGGCGGTCAAGAGGGGGGCCTTCAAAAAGGGGGGGTGCAAATCATGGCCGGCGGCATGTGCGCGGCCCAGGGGGGATGCCGGGGACGCATCGAAACAAGAAGAGGCGCCGTGGAATCAGGGGATATATATATATATATATATATAGATATATATATATATATACAAGACTGCAGTGGCGCTTCGCGCCATGCACCTTGGTCCTGGAAGTGTGGTATGCCGGCGGAATTGCAGGAAGGTCAAGCCGACAATTTAGCGATAACTCCTTGTTGCCTTTTCCGGCATCGCCTCTATAATAATGTGATTCGTCATCCTTCCTCCATGCTTCTTTTCCTCATGTTCGCCATACCCTGCGCATTCTCCCCATCCTCCTCAGTTCTTTGTTGCGGAGGCTCCTCCTTGGAGAGCCTCTGGGGGCCTCAATGTTGTTTCAGGCTTTCTTAATGCTTTCAGGAGGCCTCCTGGGTGTATTCTGGGGGCCTCTGGGGGCTTCCTCGGGCCACCCTGCCTCCAACCGCGGTCTCCCTAAACGACCGGGTCACGATTTGGAATGCTTCGGAGGGCGTCTTGGAGCCATCTTGGACCCGTGTTGTGCCGTTTTGGGGCTCTCTTGGACTGCCTGGAAGCCCTTTCGGATGTTTGTGGGGCGATTTTGGAGCCTCCCAGGCGGCTTCGGACGCCCAGAAGACCGCCGTCTTGAAGCGTCGGGAAGCCGAAAAGAGGAGAACCCCAAAATTCACCAAAAACCAACAGAAAACTAATGAGTTTTGCCTCTTGGGGCCTTCTTGGGAGTGCTCTTGGAGGCCTCTTTGGGGCCGTCCTGGAGGCCTCTTGGGCCATCTTGAGGTCACGTCGGTCACTCTTGGAGCGCTCTTGTGCTGTCATGGGGGTCTCTGAGACGTCTCCGATGACCCCCTGATCGCCCTAGGTCTGCTGGGAACCCTTGGCAAAACGCCCTGCGAGGCCAGGGGGGCCGCTTCGAGGCCCGTCCGGAGGGTCCCAAAGCCCCAGATCCCGGGAGTCCGGTTTTGGGGGGGGGGGGTGACGGGTTTTCCCCGCGCCCGATTTCCCGGGAATTTGGTTGCGAACCCGGGATTTCAAGCATTTTGGTGTTTTGCGTGGGATGCCACTGTCTGGCAAACAACGGAGCAGCGCAGCGAAGCCGTTCCGGAGGTGGCGGTCAAGTGGGGCGATTCAGCAGTTTTGAAGCCTCTTGGGGGGCCGTTTTGGCTGCCTTTTGGAGAGCCATTTTGGGGCCTCGTGGGTTCTTTTTGGGAGTCCTCGGGGCCTTTGGAAGCCTCTTGGGGCCTCTTGGGGCCCTCCTGGGGCCTCCTGGGGCCCACTTGGGGCGAAAAGTTAGATGTTTGAACTTTTGATCGCCCTGTGGGGGCTCGTTTGAAGCTTTCTCGGGGCCCTCTTGGGCCTTCTTGGGCGCCTCTTGGGCTGTTTCGGGGCGCTCCAGAGCCGTCTTGGGGCCGTGTTGGGGCCGTTTTGGGGGCCCCCCGGGCCATCTTGGGGCGCTCTTGAGGGCCTCTAGTTCTGTTTTGGAGCGTCGGAAAGCTAAAATGGCGAGAAAGCAGAAAACATCGAAAAACACATTGGAAAATTGACCATTTCGGCCTCCCGGGGCCGTCTTGGGGGGCTTCTTTGGGGCCGCTTGGGGCGTCTTGGGGGCTCCTGAGGCTGTCTTGGGGCTATCTTTGGCGTCTTGGAGCGCTTTGTGCCTGTCTTGGAGCGCTCTTGAGGCACTCGGGACCGCTTCAATGGGCGTCCGGAGGGTCCCAAAGTCCCAGGATCCCAGGAGTCCGGTTTGGGGGGGGGGGGGGGGGGTGCGGGGTTTTGCGGCCTCCTGGGCTTGTAAAAATATAGGAAGAGGAATATATATCATGGCCCTCGCGATGAGATCCTCCCGCGCTGGTCATCACCCCCCTCTTTGCCGCCCCCACTCATAGGGAGCCCACAAAGGACGGCTATGTAGATGAACACGGTCCCTTGAAACGCGAGACCAGCCGCGTGACACGAACACTCGCGCAATGCGAACTCTCGAAACCAGCGTGCATCCATGCACGTGTACGTCCTTCTCTCGCTCCTGAAGTCACTTCCCCCCCCCCCGCCGCTCGCCGCCGAATGGCATCCGCCATGGCGCCGCGGCCCTGGCTCAGCCGCTCCGCGTCCCGCAGGCGGCACGCCTCCCAGACCTAGGGCGACGATATCTATACATATCCACTGCTCCCGGCCAGGCCAATCCTGGGCCCAAGAGCTGTGTATACGCCCTCCTGGCTTGGCCAGGGAGGCATATACACCGCTCCTGGGCCCAGGATGGGCCTGGCCAGGAGCAGTGGATATGCATAGATCTCGTCGCCCCACAGACCTCCCGGCGCGCGCGGCGCCCCCGCACGGCCGCCTGCAGCACGGTCGCCGCGCGCTCCTTCTGCGCGCGGTCCGCCTCTCGCGCCCCCGGGGGGGCACGGCCGCCCCGCCCACGGCACGACTCTGTCTGAAGGGGCCCCAGGACACACAAATAAATACACACAAATAGAAATATCCCCCATAGTTTCTTATAGTTTCTGGGCTTTTGTCTTCCCCCCCCACTTCCCATATTTTCCTATATCTTCTTGGGAATCGCCGATGAATTGTGTCTGTGTGCTTGTCGGGGATGGGCAGAAGCCCCTTCAGTGCAGTCGGGGCGTTGACCTCAGGAACCCAAAATAAGGAACGAGGCCCCTTGCTTCCATAAGTTGAACTTCGGTTTCCGATCGAAGACACAAGGAAAACCTGAGGCAGGCTGCGAAACACTTAAGGAACGCGGAGCCCCTCCCCAACGAAAAGGGTTCCTTCTTCAGGGCCCCGACTGTAAAGCGCGGTTTGGTGAAAGCGGCCTCGGGCCCAAGCCTGGCGGGCGCGAGCCTGGAAATGGACGGCCGCGGCGCCTTCGCGAGAGCCGGACACGGACGAGGCACTCGTCGACGTGTCAGGGTGGGGCTTCGGTCCACCCCCGAACTTAGAGCTTAGATAGGGAGCACGCAAAGGACGTACGCGCCCAGCTATGTACATGAACACGGCCCCTCGATCCGCGAGACCAGCCGCGTTGTACGAACATTTGCGCGATGCGCGCTCTCGAAACCTGCGTGGATTCGTGTACGTACACGTGCACGTCCTTCTTTCGCTCGTCTGAAATGGCTCGCCTTGGAGGGTCTGAAGTGGCTTGTCTGAAATGGCTTGTCTTGGAGGGTCCAGACCCCCTCCCTTTTATCACGAAATCTGGAGCTCAGAGGGACCCAGATCTCCGAAGATGTGACTGCCCAGTCCGGGCGAAGCTCCTCGATGTCGGCCTCCCGGGGCCCGCTCCCCGGCCCCCTGCAGGCCAGCAAAAAGGCCTCCGGGGCGCCAAGAGTACCCCATCGCGGGAAGGGGTCGGGGCACCTGGGGTCGCGGATGGAAGCAAGCATACCGGGGGATGTCAGGGGAGCCGGCGACACGCAAGAGCGACCACGGGCAGGAGTGACCTATCGTGCGCCAGGGTCACGTCGTGGAGAGAGAGAGAGAGAGAGAGAGAGAGAGAAAGAGAGAGAGAGAGAGAGCGAGAGAGTGCACGGGGTCTCACAGGCCTCCAGTGTGCCAGCTACCAGTTCCGCAGCTTGCCTTCAAAGGGTTCTTAGTTGCGTGCGGCGCCCTTCCCTGGAAGCAGGGACAGGTGTCGCGCGGTTGCTCGCTCGAGGTTGTCCTGGGCTACTCGAGATTGCTCGCGCAATGCAAAGCAAGGCCAAGCAACGCCTATCAATGCCGAACAGCGCAAAGGCCACGACAAGCAATGCCAACCTATGATTCCAAGCTATTCTAAGCAACGCTAAGCAAGCAATGCCAAGCAATGCGTCGCATCACACCGTTTTGTCAGAGCTGCTGTGCATGTCCTAAGACTGGGGTCGCGCCAGGTTCGTTTGTTTCAGCGCGGCCCCCGAACAAGTCCCGACCCTTTCCCCAGGACTGCCTTTCCGTGCTTGGTGGTTTTCTGACAGACCCAGAGCACGGCCCATGGAGCCTGAAAGTGGCAAACAATTAGGCCGAAATGTTTCCAGGACGCTGTATGTCCCAGATCTCTGGCCGAAACTTTGGTATTCGGCGACAACTCGGGACGATCCAGGCACCCCCAGAACGCCCCCGGCAAGGCGCAGCTGCTGGAAACACCGACAACCGAATCGATATTCTTTCCTGTATGCTACTACAAGGCCTGGACCCTCCCCCACACCGCACGAGTCTCGACCACCCCAGGCGCCCAAGAGGCCCCCAAGACGGCACCAAAGAGGTCCAATACGCTTCCAAGACGGCCAAAGAGCGCTCCAAAACGGCCTCAGATGGTTCCACGACAATTCCAGAGGTTACCAAAACGCCCAAGAAGGCCCCCGAGTAGCTCCAAGACGGCCCGAGAGGCCCCTTCAAGACGCCACCAAGAGAAGCAAGAGAACGCCAAACACGCTCAAATCGTTCCACTCCGCGAGGGACAAGTGTTTTTTAGCCATGCTCGCTTTCTTGTTTTCCAAGGCTCCAGAACGGTTCAAGAGGCCCCTCCCACATCGTCCCAAAACGGATCCATGGGCCCCCACAAGACCCCAAGACAGCCCCAAGAGAGCCCCAGAGAGCCCCACGCCGGCCGAAGGTAGCCCCAAGACGGCCCAAGGGAGCCCCGAGACGGGTCCAAAGCGGCCCCAAGACGGCCCCGAAGGGCCTCTAAGAAAATCGGGAAGCGCCCAATAACAGGGACGCGCCTCCTACTCCGTTCGTGTGTCACCCTGATGTGCTCACGACTGCCCCAGAAGCTGGGACCCCAAGCGGTCGGCGGATTCCGACCTATTAGCCCGATCCCTATACATGCATTAAGTTCGAATCTTCACGTGGGCTGTATCTGGACGTCCTTTTCACATGGATGGATGTGTATCCTCATCATGCACAAATCACGTATGCATGGTGTTGTCTGAAACTTCAACGGGAGGATGCTATGTTCGCTCTTCACTTGCAATTTGCTGTGCGTACGTGATTGCCTTCGGACAATTAAACTTTTCGCACCTGGCACAGCATACCTTGGAAGGCGGCGCTGAGGACTCCGCCCAGGGAAGCGCTGAAGGATCAAGCATCGCGCTCTCTCTCCCCTCGATTGATCACTTGAATGCTCTCGGCACCCACTCTGGGAGCCTTGGAGGCCCTGTTCCATCTTTCTTGGGAGAACCCTCGTGGTATCCACGAGGGCGCTCTTGGGGGCATATCGGATGCTCTTGAGGTTCTTCGGAGCCCTTATGAAGATGCTCCAGTATGATTGGGGCCATCTTCGGTTATCCTGGAGCCATCCTTCTTGCACTTCTGACTCATCGCTGCGGGGGTGGCGCTGCTCTCTGACAAAACATTTCGCCCACGCAGTCACGGCTTGGCAATTCTTCGCACACGACATCTTTCGCGGTAACAAGGTACCACGGTGGCCCCAAACAGCTTCCAGTAGAATACAGCAGGCACTCAAAGACCACCAGAAGGCACAAAAAACTCTCGCGGTATTCTCAGGATGCCATCCGAGGAGGAGGCCACACAATAGCACTTGGAGATGGTAGCAGGGACGCGTTCGCCAACGACGAGTGAACATGAAGAAGAAACATGAGGGGCAGCTGATACACATATATTGCACATGTGTGGCAACGATGGTGCTTACGGCAACAAGGAACCTTCGTCCTTGTGGGTCCTCTCTCTATCTCTCTGTCGCTCTCTGTCTCTCTCTCTTTCTCTCCCGCGCCCCGCCTGCCGCCTGCGCACTGATCCTGAAGTGCCAAGGTGCATGGAGCGAAGCGCCAATGCTGTCTTGTAAGTACACATGTATGTATGTATGTCTGTCCGCCTGCCTGTCTCTCTGTATGTATGTATGTATGTATGTATGTATGTATGTATGTCTGCATGTCTGTGTGTATGCATGTCTGTGTGTATGTGTGTATGTATGTATATATGCATGTATGTATGTATGGATATATATATATATATATGTATGCATGCATGTATGCATGTATGTATGTATGCATGCATGCATGCATACATGCATGCATGTGTGTATGTATGTATGTGTGTATGTATGGATGTATGTATGTATGTATGTCTGTATGTCTATATGTCTGTATGCCTGTATGTATGTATGTATTTATGTCTTTATGTCTGTATGTCTGTATGTCTGTATGTCTGTATGTCTGTATGTCTGTATGTCTGTGTGTATGTATGTATGTATGTCTGCCTGCCTGTCTGTTTGTCTGTATGTATAACTGTATACATGCATGTATGCGTATACATACTTATGTGTATGTATGTGTGTATATATGTATAGATTGGTATGTACATGTATATATATATATATAGCAGTAACCGATGTTCAATGCGTGGCCCCAGAAGCCCCGACCCCTTCCCAGGGCCGATGTTCGACCCAGATCCCCGTCTTATGAAATTCAAAAAAACAAGGGCTCAAACAGAACACGTCGTCAGAGATCCGGGGAGCATCCTGAGGCTGACCTCCGACCTAAAACATGCGCGTGGAGCTCCGAACGCTCATGTCCATGCTGCTTCTGCTCCTCGAGTCAGCTCGCTTGCCCCCTGCTGCCCCGCTCCTCAGGACAAAGCCTGGCTCTCTGCGGTCCGCGGCAGGCCCACCCCCCGGGAACATGGCGCCCCGAACTGTCTGCCCTTCAGGGCATGTCGCGGGCAAGGCCGAGGTCGTGAAAGACCGAGAGCGTCGTGGGAGAATGGCACCCTGGCGGCAGACCCAAACCCCCGACGTCATGATTTGTTCCTTACGTCGCCCCCCAGAAGTTTCGAAACATGCCCCGGGACCAGATTTTCATCCCGAAATGTTCTTTGACGGCCGCGAGGCCCGTCAAGGGCCCCCAGAGGCTGAAAATGGCGAAAAACCTCCCGTCGTGATTTTTCCATTGTGGAGGGGGCCCTAAAAAGCTTCACACGAATACACAAAGGGGTGCCACGATGCGGGGCATGGCACATATGGGGTGTCCTGGGGCCACGCCGGTGGACCACGATGGGCCACCCACTTCGGGGGCCCGGGCTCCCTCACTGAACGTTACGAGGATCCAGTGCACACGTAGATGTATGTGTATACATACACTGGGCGCCCGAATTATCCGGGGTAACTCGGGCCCGGGGTAACTCGGGTTCGGATTCCCGAAAAACGAACCCGAGTTAGCCCTGACCCGAAATACCCCTGATGATTCGGGGCTCAGGACGCCCGAATTATCCGGGGTAAGTCGGGTCCGGGGCAAGTCGGGTTCGGAATCCCGAATAACGAACCCGAGTTAGCCCTGACCCGAGTTACCCCTGATGATTCGGGGCTCTGAATACACATATACATACACCTAAAGATTTCTCAGAGCGAAGGGGCCGAGTGCTCATTCCCTGTCCCTGGGTGCGTGGCTGAAGCGGGATCCCTCGGTGCAGATTGCTGTGGCGTCGTTGTTGCTGCTGTTGCTGGTGTGGGTGTTGTCGTCGTCGTCGTCCCACTCGCGACCCGACCCGCGGCCCACCCGCGACCCCCCCGCGACTCACCCGAACCACTCACGACCCAGCAAGCGACCCACCCCGCGACCCACCCAGCGACCCACCCCGCGACCCACCCCGCGACCCCCGCCCGGCGATCCACCCGAGACCCACCCGCCACCCACCTCGCGCCCGCCCCCGCACCCTTACCCTGACAGACAAGCCGTTCAGGGGAGAACGGCCCGATCTGTCACCCGCCCACAAGAAGGCCCTCGGGGCCCCCACTGGGCAAGAGCCCGTCGTGCATGCTCTTCCGCGACGCGGCCGCCAGGGCGAAAGCGTGAGCCTCGGCGAGGCAGAGAGCACCCTGGGACGGGCTGGACTCGCTGGGGGGACTCCGGGCACCCCGGCTGCGGTGCGCCGAGGCCACGCCAGAGACTGCACCCGAGGCCTGCTGGGGGCCAGACTAGACAACAACCTCCTGGGGCCGTCTCCGCACAAGCTCAGAGCCTTGCAGGCCGAAGCGACCCGAGGAGTGGCCCCGCCGCGGCACGAGGAGACCAACCTTTGCAGATTGGCGTGGACCTCCTGGGGGTCGGCGCCGCACCTTCCCGCCCCCCCTCCGCGGCGCCGCCCGTGTGTGTGTGTGTGTGTGGGTGTGTGTGTGTGTGTGTGTGTGTGTGTGTGTGTGTGCGTGTGTGTGTGCGTGCGTGCGTGTGTGTGTGTGTGTGTTGTGTGTGTTGTGTGTGTGTGTGCATGTGTGTGTGCCCAGCGGGTGTGGGAGGGGTGGTCCAGCGCCGACTCAGGATCCCGCGCGGGCATCCAAACCTTCGGCCGACTCCACAAGCCCGCATCCACAAACTTGTGAAATCTCACGTCTTCTTTCACCGCCTTCTGCGGGGCTGGCGGGCTGGCCGCCGCTCCACCTCCGCCGGCTTCCGCGGTCGGGCCTTTCGCCAGCTTCCGCCGAAAGCCAATGCTTAAGCTGTGTGCTGGCCATCGACGGCAGTGTGGGCGAGCGAAGTCGAACCAGTGTCCTGTGGCCCCATGAATTTTGTTCGGAGGACGCCAACTATATGAACGTACACCGATCCTGACCAGGCCCTTCCTGGGCCAAGGAAAGGTGAGTACGCCGTACTGCCTGCCCTGGCTGGGCGAGTAAAGCATACAGGCCGACCCTGGGCCTAGGAAAGGCCTGGCCAGGATCAGTGTACGCGTACACATTGTCGGCGGTTCAAAGATGGTGCCCTGAGGGATGAGACCCTGCGGATAGGAACGGGACCCAAGAAATCCGCGCAGAGCGCCAAAAATTTATGATTATCATGACGTTTCTTTTTCATCTTCGAATGCATTGGTCGGCGGTGATTTCACGGCCCCATCTCTGAGCCGCCGAAATTGGCGCCTGCCCCCTTGCCAAGAGAGCCGCGCAACCGGCCTTCCGCGCTTCCCTGCGCCGCTGCTCCGCTGCCTCCAGCTCCTCGCGGCGGCGGGCGCTCTCCGCGGTCCTCGCGGACAGCACCTCCAGCTGATGCCGCACGCGCGAGAGCTCGGCGTCGCACTGAGCGATGCAGAGCTGGGACAGCTTGTGCCTCCTTTCGGGTGTTGCTACAAGTGCCCCTGGCACAAGGTGCCCCCTGCTTTTAGCTCCATCTTGGAGCCCCTGGGCCCCCGTGGACCTTGTGAGGGGTGCTCCGAAGGCTGTGGGAGCCTCCTTGGAAATCCTGGGGGCCTCCGGGCCAGGGGCACTTCTGGCAACACCCAATCCTGGGCTCGGGCCATCCAGTCTGGGTAGTCGAAGCCAATCTGGCGGGTCCAATCTGGCAATCTGGCGAGGGAGTCGATCTGATCTAATCTGGCGAGAGCCAATCTGGCAATCTGGTAAACGGCCCCAACATACTATATATATATATATCATTTGAAGAGCAATCTGGTATGCGGCCCAACCTGGCAGATGCTGAAACAAAGATTCTGGCGCATCCCTTTGAGGGGGAAGCACCCAATCTGGCGAGCATTCCAATCTGGCATTCTGGCCCTAAAGCCAACCTGGCAAACCTGGCGAAGTGTCCAACCTGGCAATCTGGTACAAGATGCAGTCTGGCTGCCCTCACAAGCCAATCTGGTGGACACGTCAACCTGGCGCGCAATATGATATTCAATCTGGAACACGTTGCAGTCTGATCCAAGCTGCCGTACGAAGTAGATCTTATCAGAATCGCACTCTGTGATCCACGCGCTCCCGAACTGTCTTACGGCAAGTTCGTGTCGTGACGATTCGTGCGTCGGTTTTTCTGACGCCGCGTGGATAGCTCCGGTTTGAGCCGCTCGCGCCCAGACTGTGGGGACGTCCCGAGCGAGGCGCTTGTTTGGCACCTCCGACACCTCTTCATTGAGAGCCCCGTGATAAACACGGTGCAGCATGAGAAGACTCTCTCGCACTCAGTGGCTCACAACCCAGCCCCCCGACGTCGTGATTTTTTTACGACGTCGACCCATCGAGGTCTCGACCCCTTTCCTGCGACCGGTCTCTCGTTCCGAGCCGTTTTTTGACGGTGCCGCGGCCCGGGCAGGGCCCCCGGAGGCCGAAAACTGTGAAACACCTCCCGTCGCGATCTTGTCGTCACTCGAGGGGGTCGGGGAATGGGGACTCCCAAGAGATGAGATGCACACATCTGGGGGACCTGGGTACAGTCAAAAACCCCTAATAAGGACGCGCGGTAAGGACGCAAGACCCTTGGAAGCCGAAGTTGGGATTTCTGGGGCGGCGGACGACGAAAACCTCAGGGACGCAAGAGCAAGGAAGAGCAAGGACGCAAGGGGTACCCTGAGCAAAGTCGCGCGTCCTTATGAGGGTTTTTGACTGTGCTCCTACGGTCCCGGCGAGGGCCCCAGAGGCCGAGGACGCCCCCCCCCCCGACAAAACAAAACAATACCGTCGCTGCGTATCCTCACGGAGCGAAGGGAGGACAGACTGCACAGACGCAAAATCTGTCAGATCCACGCGCGGAGCTCCGAGAGGTGAGGCTCAGGCCGCGCTCTCTCCTCCTTGGCCTGCGAATCGGGGATCAGATTTTGCGGGCTCAGAGTCAGCGACGGGCAAACTGAGAACACGTCAGGCTCTGAGGAACAACACCCCCAACTAATCTCCATGGGAATTGCAAAAGGCTGGCGGCAGAGAACACCCCCCCCGAACAGAACGAATCCAACCCGGCGAGTCAAATCCATGGGAATCACAAAGGCTGGCGGCAGAGAACACCCCCCCGAACAAAACAAATTCCCCAAAGCCTTACCCACTTTCTAGAGCATCCAAGATGGGGTCTGAGCAGACGGGGTCGGAGAATCGCGTCGCATCGCCAAGGCATCGCCGATGCATCGGCGTGGAGAGGCTTTGCCTCCACATCGAGCCGCATCGTTGATGCATCGGCGGTGCGGCGTGAGCCTTCGACCCCCACATACTCTCCGCCCGAGAAATTTATATAGTATACCCAAAAGCCCTGGGGGGTGGGCGAGGGTCTTGATCTTGGGTTTGGTATGCAAGATTCCCTCCCTGGTGCGTTGTTTTGAATACTGAACGCGGCCCCGGGCGGTGGAATCTGACTGGGGCGGGGAAGGTGCGGTATACAAACAAATATTGAGGATACTCCGACCCTACCCGGGATGCCATGAGCAGGCGGGGGACCCTGTTCACAGACCGAGCACCGCGATGTTTAAAACGAAATGCCGTCCGCAAAGGAAAACGAGAAGATACCCCACGTTTGAAACTAACTTCTAAGACGAAACCGGTGCCAAACGAATCGAATGAATCGAGGCGCTGCAACACAAGACGGGAAATACACGAAACGGAACAACCAACACGGGCCGAAACCAGCAAAACAGCGTTGTGGTCGGTGCTTGACCTTCTTCCACGGAGGACCCCGCACCGTCTGCTTGGCGGCGGGCACAACGGGGTATGAGGGAGGGGGGAAGGCTTCTTAGAAGGAGCCTGCCTCTTTTGAGCCGCGGGCCCTACATCTGTAGACAAGGCCAGCGACTGCTAAGAAGCAGGGGGGGAGGCGTCCTACAAGGCATGCGCCCTACATCTGCAGACAAGGCACGCGCCTTCTAAGGACCAGCCCGTGGCTGACTGCTGCTGGGGCGCCTCAGATCGACCTGGGGGGCCCAAGGTCGGGCTGGGGGGGGGGCGGCACAGCCTACCTTGCCCAACGAACCCTTCCGGCAACCTCCGAGAGAGTAGGGCAACCAGAAGGTACCGATACCGCTGCTACCGAATCCAACTGTGGTGATGAGGGCCTCCCGAGAGGGCGAACAAGGGACAAGGAGGCCTACGAGGGAAGGGGAGCGGCGTGGGCACCTCGCCTCCTCCTCCAAAACTTGTCCAGCGGCCCCCCGCCACACCACTGAGTTGAGCAGGGACCGATCGGCCTGGCATTCCTACAGGCCTACTACGAAAATCTCTTACAACCCCATGATGTTCTGAGAACCAGATACAGCCAACGTCCTTAGAGCATCTACCCGATGATCTAAAACAACTCAGCCCCAGCCAGAAATGCTCGAAGCACATGCCATGCAAACCACATGAGGTTCTTAGAACAGTCTTTAGTGGGCCTACAGTCGGGGCGTTGACCTAAGGAACCCTAAATAAGGAACGAGGCCCCTTCCTCCCATAAGTTGAACTTCCATTTCCCATGGGAAACATCAGGAAAACCGACGGCAAACTGCAGAGCAATCAAGGAACACCGAGCCCCTCCCCCAACGAAAAGGGTTCCTCCTTCAGGGCCCCGACTGTATGTCATCGGGCGTTGGCAGAACTGGGTCTGGCAGAACCTGGAGGAGGAGGAGGAGGAGGAGGAGGAGGAGGAGGAGGAGGAGGAGGAGGTGTACTGGGCGAAGCCCCCCTCGCCCCATTCCACGAACCGGAGCTGCCGCCGCCCGGAAAAAACACCAGCTATACGGCAGACCTGGCTCAGTGATTCTGGCCAGTTCAAGGGCCCCGGGGTCCCCACCACGAACCAGGCCCCCTTCCCAGACCCTCTCGAGTCATGAAAAAATCACGACGGAAGGTTTTTCCATATTTTCCGCCTCTGGGGGCCCTTACCGGCCCTCGGGACCGTCAAAAAACGACTCAGGATGAAAAACCGGTCCCGGCGAATAGGTCCGGACCTCTGGGGGTCGCGTCATGAAAAAATCATGACGTCGGGGGTCTGGGTTACCTGGGGTCCTGGCTGTACCCGACCATATAGGCGAGCCAGGGCGCTTCGCCACTGCTTCGAGCCACTGGCCCGGGGCTCCTCGGTCTCCGCTGGGGGGGGGTGACGGACCAACAACACACACACACCTATACCCATAATCAGGGGGATCGGAGAGGGCTGTGGGTGCGTGTTGTCGGAGGATGGGGGTCCCCGCTCGAACGGGAGCGTTCCCCAGGGTCCGACAACCTGCACCCATACCCATAGCCAGTCCTCCTCCCAACGACCCCCCTATGGGTACAGTGGGGGCGTTGACCTAAGGAACGCTAAATAAGGAACGAGGCCCCATTTTCCCATCAGTTAAAGTTCGATTCCCCATCGAAAACCTGAGGAAAACCTGAGGCAAGCTGTGCAACGATCAAGGAACACGGAACCCCTCCGCAACGAAAAGGGTTCCTTCTTCAGGGCCCCGACTGTGTGGGTGTGTGTTCTTCGTTCGTCAGAGGGCCCTGACTCCCGATCCGCCCTACTTTGGGGAAATTCGTAAGTAGGGCTTGGAATTTCCGCCTTATTTTTCAAGCCCCGCTGATGCCAATTTCCGCCCTACTTTTCTGCTGCTGTTTCCGCCCTATACTCCTGTGGATGTTCGCCCCACTTTATGCTGGGTGCAGAAATCTCCGCCCTACTCTTTCGGCTCCTTACAGGTGGATTTCCGACGCAATTTTGAGTTGGAGAAAAAGCCAAAATAAGGCGGATCCGCGCCCTGCCCGGAGGCGGAGCGAGCGGGAACAGGCGAGGCCGGGAGCGCACGGGGAGGAGGAGGAGGAGGAGGAGGAGGAGGAGGAGGAGGAGGAGGGGGAGGGGAGAGGAGGGAGGAGGAGGAGGAGGGGAGGAGGGGGAGGGGGAGAAGGAGGAGGAGGAGGAGGGGAGGGGGAGAGGAGGAGGGAGGAGGAGGAGGAGGAGGAGGAGGAGGAGGAGGAGGAGGAGGAGGAGGAGGGGGGGCGCTCCTGCCCGGCGCCGCGCCCTCGGGCCGGCGCGGCGGCGCCCGCGCCTCCCCGGCGGCCATGCGTGGCGCGCGGCGCGCCCCCCCGCCGCGGGGCCCGCGGGCCCGCCGGGGGGCCCCGGGCGCGGCCCGCCGGCGGTCGTGTCGGGGCCGCCTCGACTATCTGCGGCGCCGTTTTCGCTGACGTTTGGTGTGTTATCAAATGTTGGGTGGGTTGGCATGTTATCAAACGGTTTTTTCATATTATTATTATTATTATTATTATTATTATTATTATTATTAGTATTATTATTAGTATTATTATTATTACTACTATTACTATTACTTTTTCTTAAACAAAAAAAGAAAAACCAAAAAAACACAACAAAACACCTTTTTTAAATAATACTATCATTTTACCACGGTC